ACCCTGCGAAGACACGGAAGTTTGTGTTGGCTCCCAAATCCTCAAAGCCCTCTGGCCCCTCAGAACCTGTGAATTGTTTTTTTAGAAACAATAAACAATTGTTCTTATAAAAACAATTCACAAGAAGGCCCAAACTAAGCCTAGGGGCGTTTTATGGGAGGCTTGGGCTTCTTCTCTCTGGCGCCCCGGAGCAGCTCCGCAAAGCAAATGCGCTCGAGCCGTGTGCCTGGGGCAGATTGTTTAGGGTTTAGGGTTGGGAGCTTACCATAAAATTGCAGATCATGTTATACTAGACTATATCATACTCTGCACTAAAGTATTTTCCATTAGAGTGGACGGTCCATAGTGAGTTTTGGGCTTGGGGTCTAGATGGGTTTTTGGCTTCTGCATTGGGTGTGGGCTTGGACCTTCTGGTCTTGATCCATCCGCTGCGGAGCGGCTTGGCGTTGAGACTCAGTGAGCCTTAAAACTTGGCAATCTGGTGGTCACTGCATGCACAAACCTAGCTGCTAGGTCCTCTTGTGCTCCGAACTTTCCGCCGTAACTCTCTATGTAGATGCAAAGCATTCCTGTGCCCTGCCCCGGAGAGCGCACCCCTGCCAAGGAGGTAGACCGCAAACAACTCGAGGATGGATCGGAGGCGGATTGAACATGTGTGTATGTGTGCGTGTCTGCGTGTGTGCGTGTGTGCGTGTGTGCGTGTGTGCGTGTGTGCGTGTGCGCGTGCGTGCGTGTGCGTGTGCGCGTGTGGGTGTGGGTGTGTGTGTGTGTGTGTGTTGGTGTGGTGTGGTGTGGTGTGGTGTGGTGTGGTGTGGTGTGGTGTGGTGTGGTGTGGTGTGGTGTGGTGTGGTGTGGTGTGGTGTGGTGTGGTGTGTGTGGTGTGTGTGGTGTGTGTGGTGTGTGTGGTGTGTGTGGTGTGTGTGGTGTGTGTGGTGTGTGTGGTGTGTGTGGTTGGGGTTGGGTGGGGGGGGGTGGGTGGGTGGGTGGGGTGGGGTTGGGGTGGGGGGTGGGTGGGTGGGGGTGGGGGTGGGGTGGGTGTGTGGGGTGGGGTGGGTGGGTGGGGTGGGGTGGGGTGTGGTTGTGGGTGTTGTTGGGTGTGTGTGGTGTTGTGGGTGGTTGGGTGGTGTTGAGTTGTGGTGGGTGTTTGGGGTGTGTGGGTGTTGGGTTGTGGGTGTTGTGGTTGTTGGGTTGTGTGGGGTGTGTGGTGTGGGTGTGTGTGTGGTGATGTGTGTGTGTGTTGTTTGTGTTGCTGTGTGTGTTGTGATTTGTGTGTGTGTTTGGTGTTGTTTTGTGTGTGTGTGTGTGGTGTGTGTGTGTGTGTGTGTGGGTGTGTGTTGTGGTGTTGTGTGTGTGTGTGTGGTGTGTGTTGTGTGTGTTGTTTGTGTTGTGTGTTGTGTGTGTGTGTTGTGTGTTGTGTGTGTTGTGTGTGTGTGTTGTGTGTGTGTTGTGTGTGTGTTGTGTGTGTGTGTGTTGTGTGTGTGTGTTGTGTGTGCGTGTGTTGTGTGTGTGTTTGTGTGTGGTGTGTGTTGTGTGTGTGTGTTGTGTGTGCGGGCGTGTCGTGCCGTGCTTCGGCGTGCGTGCGTGTGCGTGCGTGCTGCGGCGTGCGTGCGTGCGTGCGTGCGTGCGTGCGTGCGTGCGTGCGTGCGTGCGTGCGTGCGTGCGTGTGTGTGTGTGTGTGTGTATGTATGTATATATATACACATGTAAGAATATAAATATATATATATATATATATATATATATATATATGTAACATACGCCTACGTTTATGTATTTCATCATTCATTTATCCGTTTGTTTACATTATATACACGTGTATGTATGTATGTATATATATATATATATATATGTATGTGTGTATATATATATATATATGTATTTCTGCATATATGACTGTATATATGTATGTGTGCATGCATATATATATATATATATATATATATATATATATATGTATATATATATATATATATATATCATTATATAGGATTTTGGGTTTTGGCTGAGGCAGTTGGCGGTGGTGGGAGTTTTGCAGCCGAAGCATGATTGTTGACCTTGGGTCTTCAGGCTTAGTAGTAGGGTCTTTCTCTGCACGGCGGAGGTGGTCAAGTTGGCCTCGGGCGTGCAGTACATCGACCTGCGGGTTGGCCGCGGAGAGGCCGACCCAGGGTCCGAAACCCTAAGAGCCCAGTTGTCAAGCAAGAGGTTGTAGTCAAGTCCGCGGCCTTGATGGTTCAAGGATTCTTCGGCCTTGTTTAACGTGAAGAGTGAGCTTGCCTAAACAAGCGCTAGAAGCCACACAGGCTGCCCCTCTCACCCAAATTCGGGCCTGTGCTCGGCAGAGGTCCCGGAGCTGGGCGACGTCGTTCTAGCGCATGTGAAAGGAGCCCGGCGTTAAGCTGTCGAGGTTCCGATTGATTTCAGGTGAGATCTTGCTTCCAAACTTTGATATGGCGATTATCGCTTCACTTGTAGGTGTATATCGCATTGAAGGTGTGAGGGCCAAAGCCAGGATACCTGATGGAAAGGGATGACCCCGTCTTTGTGGACACCTACTCGGACGGCAGACCACTGGTGTTTTCACTTGGGACTGAGCCCGAGGCGGGGCTGTGATCTTAATTTCAAGCGAGCTCTTGTCGAAATTGCTTGACGCCGATTTTGGCGTATGTTGCAGCATAACCAAACTAAGTCAGCATATAGGAGGCTATGAGGTTCTCAAGAACTGCTTCAGCTATTAATCCCATGCCCGGTTCTTTAGCAGTTGCGGTGCTGTTCTTGCAGATATTCTGATGATGAGTACGCTCACGAATTTTCTCAAGATGGCCAGCATCATCACCATCTAGATCGCTACAATCTCTGTCGTTGTTGCGAAAGCCAAGCAAAAAAGCCCTAGAACACCCCAAAGCCCGAACTCACTGAACCCAGAAAGTCTTAAGACCCTGAGAACCCTATGTAAGACCCCATAAAACATCTATAAACCCAAAACAGTCCAAGCCCTTTAAAGCCCTAAGCCCTGCAGGACCCCGATGAAGCCCGACTTCCTAGACCCAACATGCCCTACAGAACGTAAATAGGAAAATCATATTAGGGAGCCCTAGAAAAGTAGGTTCCTTAGGGTCCATGTAATCAGAGAAGTCTTGGCAGGGCCTCACGGAGGGACTCTCGGAAGCTTTGGCAACGATGAAGCTGGGATCTATTCGAGCGGTGCAGGCCCGGCTTGAGGAACATGAGAAGGGGGGATAGGGGCTTGAAGGGGCAACTTAGAGGCGATGAGGGTATAGGATCTTGGGACTTGGAGCTTGGCACTGTCGGTTCTTATGGCGAGAGGTTCGAGGTTGCGCTGTCTGCTTCTTTCTCATGGAAGCGGTCATCGAATGTTCGGTCCACCATTTGTAGTGTTACTGTTCCAGAAGTGCCGGATAGTCCGTCGCAGTCTGCTGCAGCCGCAACAGCGCAGGTGCCATCCTACCTTGGCTATCCTGAAGGGCTGGCACGTGCCAACGTAAAGGCGCCTCTGCGCCAACCTCAGCTGCTGCGGGAATACAGACTCCCTAAAGGCTGTGTAGGTTTGTTCGTGTTTGCAGACCTAGCCAACTTCAGATCTCAAGCAGAGCTTGGGGAAACATGTGAGTTGTGGTGGCGATCAGGCGACTCCCCATTCCTCGAAAGGAGGGGCTGCGCTACGAAGTAGAGCTGCTGCGCTGTGCTCCCTGGCTTCTTTATTTCGAGGGACCACGGAAGCTAGCTTCTATGGATGCTACAGCTGGAGGCTGGAGGTTCGGAAGCACAGGATTCAAGTAAGAACTGTGGGATATGACGTCATCCGAGCATAACGCGTAGCAAAGCAAGTATCTGTCCTTCGAGAGGTGCAGGCGCCTGCAGCGAATGGGGCAAAGGAAAGCCAGAGGTTGTGCTGCTCTGATGCTGAATACCCATGCAGCTTGTTTGCACATCTTCGCGCTGTTCGATGCCTCCTTCTTATCACTCTGACAGAGGTTATTGTAGCTCTAATTGGTCGCCACCATGGGCCATGGCCTGTCGAGGTAAGCTCTCCAAGGACATCCGCCTTGATGTCGCAGATATTCCGAGCCAAAAATAGACTGGCCCTGCAAACTTCGGGAGGATGGGCTGCACAAAGGTTGCAGCCCGTACGTTGCATCCGACAGAGTAGGGCAAGATGGTCTTCGAAGTGTAGGGCGCCTCCTTCCCAGACGTGGGCAAAGAGATTGCGACGCTGCAGCCTTACGGACACACACTCCGCCAGTTATGCTACCAGTAACCAGTCTGCATTTTTGGCAATCTAAGCCTTAATCCCTGGAGCAGATCCTCGTGCTTTCCCTCGCCGTGCTCGCAGCATCGGGCTCAAATGGGAGGGGGCCCGAAAGACTCGTGCCTCTAAGGCAGGGAGCCTAGCGGAATCATGCGCCAAGTGCTTCAGACTGCAGCGTCCCGTTGCAAAGACTTACCCGAAGCAGGGGAGGTCCAATCGCAATTCGATTGCAGTTTTTCAGTGCGGGCTGTGAAAATTCACGCTCTCTTCACCCCAAGATGTCTTTCTCTGCCAGGGGCCCGGCCATGTCAGTTTCGCAGTTGCGGCGGCCTCAGTGGATTGCGTACTGCTGCTCTCGGCCGTGAAGTGCAATAGCAAGAAGCTCAAGCTGGCAAGAACGGCATCAAAAATTATGGTTCTGATAGCAATCATCAGTGTTGCTGTTGCGGCAATGATGACCAGAAGATGCTGCCATAAGCAACTGCTCGTAGCAGTGGCTGCAGTAGCAGTGATCAAAGATGAAGGGTATCACATGATTCCGTCTTGATGATGTCATATGGATGACCATGATGAAGATGGGTGGTGATGATGATGACGACAACGATGGTTGCTGTCTCTTCTGGTTACGAGTCGAGGTATCTGCGATCTTGGTAGTGACAAGAGGGAAATAGCGACAGCACTGTTCTTATCAGCGGGCAAAACAGCAGCACGGTGGCTTTGGTGCCCCGAGGCCTCCTGCAATCCGAGACGACGAGAAGGATCGGCTTCTGCGCCGATCTGAACACAATGCTAGGCCAGCGCTGATTCGTGTTCGGTGGGGGGCTTCGGATTTGGGGCTTAATGTTCAGATTTGTTGAATTGAGGTTCGGCCTTTCGGACGTAAGGATCTGTGACGAAGCTCCGAGATGCATCCCAGGGGGAATGAAGAGTGGTTGTTCCCAAGAAGTCGAGGTGGTTCCGGGAAGATGGTCCCTTGTTCATTGTATCCCCACAAGCTGCGACACCCGTGCATGAAGAACAAACATCCACAACGGTGCTAATCGCTGTAGCCATCGTGCAATCTGCTCTCAGACTGGCATCTTGGCAGGGCCAGAGAGCACAAGGGGAAAGTGGATGGACACAATGAGAGCGAGAGGACCCTGGCGGCTGCTCGCAACATGTATTTTGCCTCTGTATTTCAAACATGTGGGGGGAGTTTAGGCTCGGCTGTAGCCTTTCCGGTCTTGGAGGTGCGGGTTTGCCGGAATGCCCCCCCCCCCCCCCCACACCCGGAGCTATTTGACAGCCTCTCGTAGCCTTCTTCTCGCAAGCTTCCTGCCAGGATAAAGAAGAGAGACGCTTTTCGAAGGCTGGGCATGCTCGAAGCCACTGTTCGCTTTCGACTGATCTATAAATTAGGTCTGCCCGGATCGAGGCAGAGCCTGCAGTGACTCTGGGACTGGATGATACAACGTAGGGTTCGTTCCTTGTGGTGTCGTGGCAGTCGTGGACACTGTCCTGCGCGTGACCCGTCTTGTGAATATCCGCACAGCTTCTGAAGGCTTATTGCTAAGGTGACACCATGATGTTGCCAATCTCTCTCTCATGCATCCAAAGTGTGTGTTTCACCTCTGGTTGTCTTCCAAGCCTCCTTCGGCCACCCGAGACTGCAGGGAAGACAGCATGGCTCGAAGAACGTTCCTCACCTCCCTCCGGGAGCGAGAGGAGCACGGACCCCGGCCGTCTTCCAGCGCACACTTGAGAGGCAAATCAGAACGATCTGTTCCGGGAACATCACGCTTTCAAATGTGTGAGAAACATCCAGCAAGTGGAACCCCCAAGCCTAGCCAAAAGCCCCGAATGTAATGAGGCGAGAAGTGGCACTCGTAGCACAATGCATGACGATACGGAAGTGCGAGAGACCGGTGTAGTCGATAATGATGATGATGCTAAAGCTTGCACAATATTGTCGTTGAATAAAGATGGATGGGCATGGTTTCAACAGTAAACTTGTCAAAACCTGCCAGTAGCACGAGCTCAGGCGATGGGTCTACAAGACACAGGCTCCGATTGGTAATGCTTCTGCTCGCATTCAGCTCATGAGATATTCGTGGGTTTGCACTTTCTGAATCAACCTCACTTCTATCTTCACTGGATGCGGGGGGGAGGTGCTGGGTCCCAGGCTCATCAACTCGGGCTCGGCGAGTTGTTGACAGGCCAGCCCCTTCCACGAAGATCTCTGGGCCACGGACGACAGGCACGGGATGCCTTCAGACAGCGAAAAGAGATCGGAAAAGGGGACTCGAATCCCAAAACTTTAAAGGGCCGAAGGAACCTCAAGCCAGGAAGGGTATACTCGTATCAGCTTGCGGATGGGGGCATCTCCAACACAGGAGCTCGGAGGTGCGATGACTAAACGCCTCTAAATGCTGCAGCACCTGGTACTGGTAGGCAGTTCTTCCTCAATATCCAGCGGAACAAAGACCTACAAAAGAAGCTCCGGACTCAGAGACCTGGGAAGTCGGGCGCACGTGGCCATCTATCGCAGCCTCATGTCCTTCATGTGTATCTGCAGATGTTGCGCGTTTGAGACGCAAGGTGGATTTTAGTCCCTTGCTCGCAAAACTGCAGGGTGGCTCAAACTTCTCAAGAGGGAAGTCGCAATTTAGATCCAAGATGCCCTCCAAGCGACGCAACAACGGCCGCTCCAAGCATGGCCGCGGCCACACTGCCATCGTGCGCTGCTCCAACTGCGCGCGTTGCGTGCCGAAGGACGCTTCTCTAAAGCCTCTCTTATCCTCTCTTTCCCGCAAGAGTCCCCGATGGCCGAACCTAGTCCATGCAGATTGACTTGTGGACAGGACAAGGCCATCAAGCGCTTCCAGGTCCGTAACATGGTGGACGCATCCTCGCAGAGAGATCTGAGGGAGGCCAGTGTGTACTCGAGCTTCATGCTCCCCAAGCTCTACATGAAGATGCTTTACTGCACCCTGGCAGCTATAAACTGGATTTGCAAAAAATTGCTGTCCGTGTCCGCAACCTCAGTGTATGCGCCGGGAAGCTCCCACATGCATTGGTTGGAGACGTTCAGAGATAGATCTAGGCGTCTCCTGCGCCATTCACGGACGTGTGGTGCGCGTCCGCAACAAGGCCGGCTACGGTTTTGGGTTTCATAAAAATTCGTTGGACTGTGACTAAGACGCATGTTTGTATGTATGCACGAGGTAGGTCGGTAGATAGATAGGTGCATGCAGCACATATGCAGAAAGTGCACATAGTCAGTATGTGCATGTGTTAACATGGCATATACAGGCTATCTACAGTATCTACTACCAGTCTCGGTACTGTGTAGACATCGAGGGTCAAGTCTACGGAGTTCGGAGGCAGCCGGCTGAGGCAAGGAAAGCGAAGTTCCGAAGGCCCCAAGTCAAGGGAGGCCCCGAAGACCCAAAGCCGGTGATATGCGGAACTCCCCCCTCTTCAGGTGCTGCGTGCCAGCCCCGAAGGCCGGAGAGTTTGAAGCTGTTTAGGGAGACTCAGGGCGTTGCCTTTTGGGGTCGAACCTCAAGGGTTCTGTGTCACAGGTTTGGCGGTTTTGAGGGAAGAGCAGGGTTGCATGGCCTTTGCGCAAGGATTCACATTTGCAAGATATCCTGACTTGATGGCTTGAGGACGTGTCTACAAGCCACCACAGAAGGCGCGAGCCCGATTGCATCGTTGCCTTCGAAGATTTGGGTGCAGTATACGTTGGTCCTAATTACAGCTCGCAAGTGCAGAGCCTTACAATGATGCACACATGCCTCTAACCTGAGGGCGGCGGCAAGGGCAACTGAGAGTCCAAGCATATCGGAGCCACCCGGCGGAGGACCACGCGTATGGCGTCGGAGAAAAAATGCACCCGAGCCAGGCATGCTCGACGGTCTTGTATTTCGGGGCTCTCATCGGCCAACTTAAAGAGGATTGTGCTAACCGTCCACTCCCAGAAACATCGTCGCCCTGCCCGCTCCATAATGATCTCGTGCGAATTTCTGCCACCTTGAACTCATCCCTAAGCCATGCCGAGGGAGAAGCTCGCCAATCTACGGCAGCGGGAGGCGAATCAGGGTTGGCAGAGTGCTCTCGGATTGGCGATCGGACTGAGATGTGAGATATGAGTTCAGGGCGCTCGCGGCTAGACTCTGGACTCTGCATGTATCGTATGTTCCGACCACCTTGTGGTCGTTTACTGTGCAGACTCAGTTGCACTGTCTTTCGTTGCAATGTACGAGTAGTCTTGAAGGATGTTTCGGTGCTTCCTTGTCCTCACTTTGATGGATGTTACGACACAGGGCGCTGCGAATCAGGCCACATTCGCAATGCAACTGCAAACTCACAATTTTCTCGTTCTCGCTTACAATCTTCTCATTCTCGCAGTTGCCGTATCAGGTACATTCACTGACATTCCCGCGCGTAGGCCTATGATGCCATACGCCGGCGAGCGACGGCCGAAATCAATGAGCTCGACGAGCCTGCATCCAAGAGCTGAACACGGACGGTCTGAGTTCAGTCCATGGCAGACCTTCGGACTGCCCGTCTCTCACCATTCATCCATCCTGAAGTTCCCAGAAGCAGCTTTGCTGAGGCTCCGGGCCGAACGGAGGCGCCGCGGCAGGGGATGAGTAGGATTCGGGGCCGGCAAGTCAAGCGCACGATTCGCAGTTTTGCAGAAGCCTACGGCATGCACAAGAATTCAGAGGAAGTGGGAGGGGGGGGGGGGGGAATATTGAATTGGCAAAGAAGACAGGACAAGAAACAGTGGCGAGAGTGAGGTTGCCTCATCATTTCGTAAAACAGTGACTCATGGCATGCACTGCATAGCGCGCATGATCGAGGACACACACACACACACACACACACACACACACACACGCACACACGTCCAAAATGACAAAGGAACCATGCTGACAGTGCATATGCAGCCGTTTGATCGAAACGTACCTTGGCGCAAACATCACTGCGCCTCAAAATTCATCACACATCGAAGCATGTTTGGGCATGAGCAGTCGTCTGCGCATCTGCATCTTGACGCGCAGACATAAGTGCGTATACAGGTTTCTCCTGCAATTGCCAGCATTCTGTTGTATCCGTACCCAATTCCGCCGGACTGCAATCCGAGAGCTAGAACGGCCTCGTGTCAGGTTCAACGTCCAAAGCCGGAAGCATCTGAAGGCCATGAAGGACTGCATTCAGGGCTTCAGCTCTCGAAGCTCCGTCATAGAAACGGTTGACCATCACCCACGACCACCACCACCACTCCTGCCGTTGACCCTGGAGTTGCTGTCGCTGCCGCCGCCGCCGCAGCTGCTGCTCTACTACTACGACGACGACTACTACTACGTCGACTACGACGACGATTACTACTACTACTACTACTACTACTACTACTACTACTACTACTACTACTACTACTCCTGCTGTGACTACCACTACCAGCACCACCACCACCACCACCACCACCACCACTACTACTACTACTACTACTTCCGCTGCTACTGCTACTGCTACTGCTGCTACTGCTACTGCTACTGCTACTGCTACTGCTACTGCTACTACCACTGCTACCGCTACTCCTACTCCTACTACTACCAATATGAATAGACCAATCAGAATACTGCCACTACTGCTACTCACCGCTGCTAATGCTACTACTGGCTCCTACTCACTCGCACTCCTTCTACTCTTGCCCCGACTTGCCCTACTCATACCACTATACAGCAACCACCACCAACAACAACCAACAACAACAACAACAGTACCAGCAGCAACAGCAACCACAACCACGAGCCTTTGCTGTCAAAGGGGAAGACGTGGCCTGCTACTCTCAGTTTATATGGTTCGCCCCTAGCTCAACAATGCCGAAGGACGTGAACAAGACGAACATCCGGGCAGCAAAGGCTGTGCTCGAAAGCATTTGCAGTGAATGCGGGCTGTGCTCAGGGTGGAGGGATTGGGATTGGGTGGGTTTGCATCTGTGCAGGTTCATAGAGAGAGAGGGCGAGGGAGGGAGGGAGGGAGGGGAGTGAGGGAGGGAGGGAGGCAGACAGAGACACTGCCGATTTGATGTCTTGATTGTTTAGCAAGCACTCAGGCTGGAACAAGCGCTACAGAAACCCGCCGGGTGCAGTCGTTAAAATACTAATCTGCGGTGTTGCCTTGCCACGGCAGAAAGAATGAAAGAGGGGGGGGACGGAGGAGTATCAGCAAGGGTTTGCTGTTGGAAGCCTGGCCCGATCATGCCTACATCGGGAGCCTGGGGAGGGTGCCGAAGCGCAAGCTGGCTCCCCCAAGAGATGCGCGAGAGAGAGGGAGAGGGAGACACGGCTTGCACCTATGGTTTCACATTCAGAAGCTTGTCATGGTCGGTTGGCTTCTGGCATATATAATTACATGATACACACAACTTCTATGTATACCAGAAGCCATGGCCAACTGTCACACAAACTTCCAAATTGTGTGTGTGTGTGTACGCATGTAAAAACCCGCATTGCATGCACATGCGCTCATACTTGAACGTTGTGCGCTGCTGTGTGCCGTACTTGTTGCTGTTTTTGTGTTCCAGTGTATCTGATCTGGTGATACCCCGCAGTTCACGTCGCACGACTTCTGTGAAATCGAAGCATACCATCAACTGCTTGCAGACTGTACCTGCGCAGAACAGCCCCGCGGCTGTGGAAAGTGTCCAGTCTCGCCATTGTATAGGTCATCGAAGACAGAAACAAGCGCGCGTTCGACAAGCAGCAGCTAGCGCTGGAGCCTCGGCAATGGCTCCAACTTGGGCATGTGAGACTCTTCCAGAAGTCCTGCACATTTTGCACGGACATGCCCCGACACCGCTCACCTCACATCTCAAACCTCTGTGCCTTGCAGACAGAAGTCGCTCTGCCGAACAAGCCTTTAAACCTCTTGCAGACCTGAACATAGGCTGGAGCGAGCCATGAGTGATCCATGCTTGATGTAGGATGGTGGTGCAGAAGTATCGGCATCCGGGCTGTCAGACCAGCACATATGCTATCGTCCGACAACCGAAATCCCTCAAAGACCCTAATTACCATGTTCCAGTATTGATAGGGACGGATTTCTTTGGCACATTGTGCGCTTTTGTAGGCTCTTTGCTTCCAGTTCGTCTCACCAGAGACGTACGAACAGCTGAAGTGCCATTTCAGCGCAGCTCCGCCTAAGGCGATGTTTCACAGGCTTTGACAAAAAAGCGAAGTTGCATTGTTTCCAGGAATCTGCACAGGCATTGTTTCGAGCGCTTGCTACTGCAGATGTCTGAGACCCCTGTTCTACAGCGTAGCAAATTTTGGCACAAGACCCGATGATTTGTTCTTAATTAAATCTTCCCATTGTGCGCTGCTGAATGGGTCAATGAACCAGCCTGGCGCCCGGTCCCTTCGGTGCTAAGCGAGGTCGGCCGACCGCGGCCACTTCCATAGCTCGACTCCCATGCGCCTCTTCGAAAACCACATGTTTACCAGCCCGTCCCGGATGTGGCTTTAGTGATATTTCTGGTTTTAATTATTAGCCCGATGTTTCGAATCTAGTTCCTGCCTAAGTTTTCCGCCAGGTATATCAAACTAAGCAGAAATCGAACTCAGGGCTCAAACACTGAACTCTGATCAGGTCAGGCCCCATACTCACACGGTAGATCCATACAGGCGCGAGAAAGAGATGAGGCTGTGCTGGTCGAGAAACACATCATTTTTGATGGTGGGATTTATCAATAGAGATTATCGTTCAGATTGAATTATAGTGGGACCAGAAAAGTTCAGAAGTTAATGAAGGTCTACATTGTGACTTCAACATCCAAGACTGTACAGGTTTTCAGCACTCAAGATGGCTGGACAGTAATCTTGGAGCCTGCCCGGCGAGTACAATCTGTTCGGGTTGTACCGGGTCAGGTTCGAGGGTTTAGGGTTTAGGGTTTAGGGTTGTAGGGTCTTTCTGCAGACTATGGAATTCCGGGGCCTGGCTGGCTGGGAGCAACTTGTACCGGATGTGCTGGATCTATCTCTGGATACTGCGACCACTGTCACGGTAGCACTATGACTTATCATAAACTCTATCGTACTCCTAAAGCAGAGTCCGGTATGTCTTCCTACACAAAAGTGGTCTGCAAACAAAGTGCTGAATACTGACGCTGCAAGATGTCGGCCTCCGAAGACCTATAGTACCTATCCTATACGCCATCCATATAAGTACAGTATAGTCCGCAACGTAATCCAAACGACAATCTCTTCTCCAGTCCTGGCTGAAAAATGCACGCAACTTTCCGATTCGACACTACGCCAGTATCTAGGCCCCAATACTCATCGACAACCTCGACATGAGCAGCACAATCCATTTCATGTCTTGCGACCCGCGTACTGAACTCGCCTGGCCAAAAGTCAATTAGGCTCCGGGGCCATCACGGGAGTCGGCAAGTACTGACTCTCTTGCAGAAGGTTGAATTACCTCTACGGCTGTATGGCCGTACCGATCTGTATCTGACAATAAGGGGGGGGCCGATGTGAAGCAAGGGGTGTGGCAATCTGCGTGGGGGAGCATGCATGCATGCATGCATACAACAGATATTGCGTATACATGGTTTTCCGGACTGGGGTGGGGCTCTTGGCACATGCCGTGCTGCCTGAGGTTTGAGCGTGTGAGGATACTTGGACGTGGGATCCCACCTCAGCTTCCTCCCGTCGCCTCCGGGCCATCAGGGTGTCGGCACAGTTTGAGCGAGGCTTATATGGGAGTGTTCGTTTCAGTAGTTAGTGATGTCTTAGGCGGTTGCAGTTGCCCGCGACAGCTGTCACGCGTTCTTCAAAGCGTTTGCTTCCGTCCGCCCAAGGTCGTACGGTATCGCAAGCCTCGTTCGCAAGCGAAAGAGCTTGCAGCCTGCCCAGAACGTCAGCATTTATTGGCAGCTTGAAGCTAGTGAGTCATTTGTAGCATAAGCGTCGTCTTGGCCGAGGACAGGTACCTTGGACATTGAAGAAGATGTGCGCTTGGCCCATGAATTCCTTATACTAAGAACAATGCATAGAGCAGTGTGGGAGGGAAAATTCCTGCAATTGCCGGTGAATCTTGCGCCTCACATCCTGTGACGCATCCTCCACCGGTCCTGGAAAGGTACAGCTCTCTGTGGCCAAGGAGATCGACCTACGGACAATGCCAAGAGCCGCTCTGGAGGAGCAAGATTCAAATTCAGATCGGGGGCTGTTTTCGGGAGCAGCACATTTTGGGTTCGGGTCCCTCAGCAATTTGGCCTTCAGGTATTGAAACTCCTGACAAGATACGGCAGCTCCTATCCCACCTTGTGGGTTGTGAGAGTCAGTAAAGACTTGTCTTCATTTGCAGCTTTTTGGTATTGATTCTCGTAGGATGAGGGGCTGCTGTTGGTTGCCGGGGCTTCATGCAGGTCCCCGGAAAAATGCCAGAGGCTTGCAACAAAGCTAACCTAAAGCCACGCATGCTGTGGACCTCGTAGTGGCTGAACAAAACTGATCCTGGAACCTGCGCACAGCACGGAAGACTCGGTCTCTGCAAGTCTCAGCCGTGAACCCTACAATGAGAAGTCCAGACGCCAAGTAAGTGCACCTGGGAGGAGACGGAAAACGAGGTGCCAGCCAGGGCTGTGTTCTTCGCCGCTCCAAAGAAAAGGGGCGCATCAGTCTTTCGGTGTGTGACTGACTGACTAATTTACTAATCCACCGAGAACTGGTAACCATTGCGCTGAGTTGTGTGAGAGCTGCTTTCGTGCAGAGCCAAATCTCTGTGCAGGTGCGGATATTAAAGTCGCTGAGCCATGCCGCTCGACAGCAACTTGAGAACGACACTCCCAGCGCAATCCTTCAGCCCTAGAAGTTGTGCCAAATTGCAACCTCGTCTCTCAAACCCCTCATGTTCTTGCCTATGAGAGAGGTGAACATCGTTGCGTACTACGACACGGTCATGGAGGCATAGGGTTTCCAGCTCCAGGATCAGAATGCGCGGTGCTCCAAAGCTGTTTACACAGCAATGGCCTTGAAGCAAACCTGAATTGTAGAAAGGCTACGTTTAAACACTTGTTCAACCTGGAGGCTTAAGCTGCCGCATAGATTTCAAGCTGCATGCCTCAATCGAGATCTTGTCATAGACAGACACGTAATTATTTGTGCGTGTGCGTGTGTGTGTGTGTGTGTGGGAAAATCTATATCTAAAAACTTTGTGTATAAGTACATGACTATAGTTGAGTTTATCATACATACATGTATATACACATATATGATATATGCATCTGTCTGTCTGTATGTATGTGTGTATATACTCTCTCTCTCTCTCTCTGTCTTCTCCCATTCAGAAAAAATGGAGGCAAGCTGAAATGGCTACTCTCAATGTAGGCAAGACTTTTCAATGGCCACGAGTAAAGACTGGGAGGATGGCACAATGTACATCCTCATGGAGTACGCAGATGCGGGAGATCTGTTCTCGGCTGTGAAGTGCGGGGGCCTCAGAGCATCGCTCGAACCGAGTTGAAGTGCTCACCTTGATGCTGAACGCTTTGGGCCTGATCCTTGAGCCCCATCCCTGGTAATTGACGAGGCAGGAGATCAGAGTGTCGCCATTTTGAGGAGCTGGAGGCCTTGTCCCGGCTTCCGTCGTTGTGGGGTTGCTCAACTCGCATACCAGCCTTCGAGCGGTCGCGCCTGATGTGCCTTGCAGGTTCTCTCCATCCTGTTACAGTGTGCACGAGCTCTGTCGAAGACTCGGATGCTCTGAGTGCGTCGTGGTGTCAAGTTGTGTCGTCAGTCAGAGCAAAGAGGGTGAAGTCCCGATGCATCCGCAGCACCAGCTTGGGCTTGTTCGGGTAATTCCGGGACTATATGCAGATCGGAAAGTAGATCACATGTGTACCTATGTGCTTGCAGCTTGCACTCCTCCCATTCTCAACCGATCCAAGTTGCCACTCTGCATGTGCTGTTGTAACACGGGGAACATCATTCATCCATCAACCGCTACAGCTACACAACTAAAGATTGCGGGACGATGTCGGAATCCGGCCGCTCATGCCGTTGTGACTGCATCTGCTGCAGCAAACTGCACAACTGCGACCCTGATGCAACGGAGTTTTGCAAAGACCGCACAGGCCCCAACCAAGCAGCGCAGGCGACTCCATGAGAAAAGGCGGCACTACTGGTAGGCTTCGCTGACTAGTGCACAAGAGCTGTGAAAGCAGTTGATGTTTGCTCCAAGGGAGATTTCTCGTGTCACTCATGTCTTTCACACTCTGATCGAAACACTGAAATTAGTTCAGCCAAGCAGCAGAGACCGATCTGAGGTTGCTTTCCCTGCAACTGCTTCGCCCCATGCTGCAAATGTTTGCCGCAGAGCGTGTGCCCCTTCGCCTAAGCAAGTCGGCAAGCTGAGCTGCTTTCGATGCGAGCTTGAGTCTTTTACTTTTAGCTACTTTCCGCACCATGTACGGTTTAGCATATGGAGGGTCTTTTTTTAAGCGATTAGGAACCCTGCACCGGCAGAGCATCTTCCCACAGTGACCCGTGCTGCTGCTGACACATGACTCAACGAGGCTCTATTCAGGACTGGCTCCACCTGGTTCTGCTGCTGGGAGTTCTGACCACTGCGGTCTTCACGGCATTCTCCATCTATGTCGTCGCTGCAAGCGAGACCTGCCCCTGGTTTCAAAGTCGGAGCCACCCCAAAAACTCCGTTAAAGCAGGAGCAGAGACTGTAAGGATCCTCTTGTTTAAATGGGTTGTCTACTTAAGGTGCTGGAACTTCGGAGAGGGATCTGCATCTTTACTGTGTCCGGTGTCATCGGGGTTGGACGCGAAGTTGCTGCCGCCCGAGGCGCATCGCCGTTCTGCATTCGGCAAATAGTGGCGCTAGTTGTGGCCATTCCCAGCAGCCTCGGATGCAAGCTTTGCTGCCCCTTTAGGCTTCTGCAGTACCAAGCTTCCGAGTTGTTGAGTGAGGTTTGATGGCTGTTGAAGTAAGGCTTTCCCGTTATGTCAAAAACATATCATCTCTAGTGAGAAGAGCGTTCCGACCGGGATGGCGAGGTGAGAGGGTGCAGTACCTGGCTACCTAAGGCAACTACATGTTCGTTCAGTTCATCCGGGAGTACGATCAAGGCCGTGATGCTGTAGAGCACCGTGGGGTGAATACTTCTTGCGATAGACCACGGCTCTGATGGACCGCATCAGATGAACTGCTGAACGCAAGCTTCCCCGTGAAAACCGCAACAATCCAGGCTCACTGGCGGATCACATGCAGACGGCCCAGCAAGCTGTGCAAGACCTGGTGAGAGGCTACGATGCCGAGGTCAAGGTCGCAGACCCAGATGCATTGGCCCGGATAGGGCCTAGGGTGTATGGTTGGGGATCTAGGAATGCGACAATCGCATGTACAATTGCAGCTGGCCAGCCAGCATGCTCTTGTCTCCGAGAATGTGATTCCGCTAGTTAGCGAGTTGCCATTCACCCATCATAGGAATGCGATACGTATACCTCGACCCTAAACGTAGAACTCACGAGCCTAGAATGATCAGGAAATGCGGAAGGTTATCGATGACCTGACCGGTACTGCAGCCGCATTCGCGATGAGCTGTTTTACAACCAGCCGCGAAGAGTTCGAGAAGTTTCTGATTGGTACGAAGTACTACCATACAGCAGCTTGGTCCGGAGTTCACATGTATATAGTATTTCTCCATACGTGTATGTGTGTATGACACGCTGCAAACAAGTAACCACCTAAGCATACCCAAGCCAGAATGCATGATTGCATGACGTCTGTATGATGAAGCTTCCAGTTCGGCTTCTTGTTGTAGTTCACATCAATTTGCAGACGAACTTGTGTTTGTGTTTGAAGCACTGTTTGCGTTAGAGTCAGGTCAACACAAATCTGGTGTGCTTTCTGACGTTTGTGTGCAGTTTTCTGTGTCTACAGCAGCAAGTATCTCAGGCAGATGCGACGTGGCTAGACTCGAGGGTGTTTGCTTCTTTACCTGAAGGCCAAAAGAATACCAGGGACTGCCTCTCGCGACGGTGAGTCAGGATCTATATGTTGACCCAACTGTGCATCAGCAGTTCAAGCAGTTCGTCCGAAAGTGGCTGGACATCTATGCGCAGAGCTTGTTGGATCCAGTGCCTCGGATCAGAATCGGCCAGACTCCTTTGTTGCCGCTGTGGTACAAACGACGGGGAGTTCCAGAGCCCTGAAGGATCCTCTTCGGGATGGACTTGATGCAGCTCTGGCCTCATGCATCACGGTGGAAGCCACCTGTACCCCGTCGGAGTCAGACCACGGGAAGCTGTGCATGTGTGTGTGGAACACTATGCCAGAGTCGAGCGCAATCTCACGCGTCCTAGGCGACGAGATTCTTGCTCGCTTGGCCAACACGCGAATGTCTACGTGGCTCAGCTGCCTAAGCTGATGCAGACAGGGATGATTCGTTGACGGATGTACAGTCGAAGGATACAGATAACACTAGCTTTCTGTCAGCATGCGATGATGCCTGTACATCACACTTGATACTTTTGACCACACTTGTGCATGTCGAGCTCGATATGCTCGATCTAGTTGTTTGCGCGTGTAGCTTCTCTATCTCACATGGAGATACATAAGGGTATGCATATGCTTTTGTACGGACGGAGGGATGGATGGATGGATGGATGTGTGCGTGCTTATGTGCGCATAGAGCCGTTTAGATTGTCTAGAGTCCAGGTGCTCGGACGGATAGAAAGTCGCTTATTGATCGAAACGTAGACATGAGTCTCTAGTCGGTGAGGGGTTGAGGATGAGGGTCTTGATCATGCATCTATGCCCAGTCGAACAATCCCGCAGAGCTCTTCTCTAGCCCCCGAAAGTTGGCTTCACGTTTGTGTTGGGTCTCGTGGAACTAGCTTTGAAAAGCTTTTCAACGCCAACTCCGAATCCTCAGCATTTTTTCTATCAGCTCTTTGGCATGTTGCAAGCAGGTTGTTCTGTACTCAGTTTATTGCATACAGTCAGCACACAGTGGGCGCCAGACCCTTCACAGCGTAATATGCCACACAGTCCATGATTGTCGTGTACATTAAAAATCAACTTACCCGATCAGGTTTTTAAGTTAGCCTCGTCGGCAGGTCGGGACCTGAAACACACAAGCTGCTTTGTTGACATTCCAGAATCCCTAACCTCGAAGACCCTAAGCTAAAACGCTTAAGTACCTCAAGTTCCAAAGCATCCCACCCCCCCCTTCGCCAGGCTGCAACAGCGGAGCCGGGAGTTCGATACTTAGAGCTTTGGGCACTGCCACCGTGCAGTTTCGCGAGTTACGGTCCGAAGCTTCAGGTTCAGAGTCAAGCACTGCGGGTGTTTCTAGGGCTTTTAGGGCTCAAGCCCGAGGTTTTGGCTTCTATACACATATTATATATTCTAGGGGCTGCGCCCAGGTGCGGGCAGCGCGAGTTGTTGTCAGCGGATGTAGCGGGGGAACGGGAAAGACAAGGTCAAAATTTCCAGACGGTGCCGAGACAACGACAGCTCGACACCGGAACAAAAGTGTGACGTAGGCCCGAAGTGCACAGCTTATGGGTGATCTTACTCTTAGCCCTCGTCGGCCCTCCATGTAGCCCGCATCCGCCCTCCGCCGGACCCCGCTGATGCTGATGATGCGCGCCCTTTTGGGGCTTCCGCAACCCACGCAAAAACTTGGAAATCATCACTTCGCGCCCACTTCGCGCCGCGGGGCCGGTTGCGGGCGCCCGAGTGCTCATGATGCTCGCCGGCTCGCCTCCTGGGGTCGTCCACGGCGACCCCGAAACCCGCCATGCCGTCGGGAATGGCTGCGAAGCGCGTGCGCGTTCCGAGACGCCTCCGGGCCAGGGCCCGCGCGGCCCGATGGAGAAACGGAGGTCCGATGATGCGGGGTCGGCGGCGGGTCGGCGGCACAAGCCGTCGTGGCTTTTGCTTCGCAAGACAAGCCCATTCGTCTGAGCCATAGCTCAGTCCATACAGGGCAGCGAAGCGCTGCCCGATTTAATGGCTACCGCCAGTGCCGCCGACCCTTCTGTCCCGCAAGATCCCGTGCACGGGAGCGTAGTGACCTCTGCCACTGTCACGATTACTTAGACGACTACTGCTACTAGTACTGCTGCTACTAGGACCGAGGACTACTGCATAACCCGCCACTACTCCCCCTGCTGCTGCTGCTGCTACTGACGGCTACTTCCTTAAATCATCCCATGTCATGTGGCGGCGAGCTTCATTCGGCTGGTCCTTGGCCGGGAAGCCCAGTGGGTCAGCTTGCTCGGGGGGGATGGGCTTGTTCAGGTTGGTTTGGGGGGATTCGGGCTCGCCTGGAGGGGCTTGCCCAGGATTTTGAGGGCTCGCCTGGATGGGCTTGCCCAGGGTTATTTTCGGGGCTCGCTTGGATGGGCTTGCTCAGGGTTGAGAGGGCTCGCCCGGATCGGCTTGCCCAGGGTTTTTTTCAGATTTCAGATTCAGGTAAGATTAGGAAAAACTCGTCCGTTAGGACGGGCTCAAACTCGTCCGTTAGGACGGGTTAAAACTCGTCCGTTAGGACGGGTTAACTCGTCCGTTAGGACGGGTTAAAGTCGTCCGTTAGGACGGGTTAAACTCGTTTTTTAGGACGCTCTTTTGTGGGGTTTCTGTCGAGGGTTCCGTTAAAGGGGTACCACTAGGATCTACGGTTCAGGGTAAGGGGTTTGTTTAAAGGGGTACTATTAGGATTCAGGGTTCAGAGTTTTATGTTCGACTGGAGGGGTGCTATTTGGATTCGGGGTTCAGGGTTTTGGGTTCCTTTGAAAGGGCATTATCTGAATTTAGGGTTTAGGTCTCCTTTAAGCGTTCTATGGGGTGTCAGGGTTGAACGTTAAGGGTATCATAATCTCTCCTTTTCGAGGGTTTCTTCAAGGGTTATATGCGGGTGTAGGCTTCAGGTTTTGCGGGGTAGAGTTTGGAGTCCTGAAAGAGGTCTAAACCTTAAACCCTAAACCCTAAACCCTAAACCCAAAACCTAAACCCTAAACCCTAGATCCTAAACCCTAAACGCTAAGCCCTGAACCCTAAACCGTAAACCCTAAACCCAAACCTTAAACCCTAAACTCTAAACGTCATAGAAAGCAGAGATTGCGGAAAGCCTTTCGCGGAAAGTACGGCCTCTAGGAAGGAACTGCGGGGCGCATTAGAGTTTAGAGTCTATAGGGTTTAGCGCCACAGTGAAAAATGGTAAAGTCATTCCAAGTGCAGCTGAGCGGCACACGTACACGTGTCCACACTGTCGGAAAAGGATCAAGTCCAGCATCACAAATGGACACGTCGATGGCCGCAAGCAAGGATGTCCGCACCGGTTCCCAGTTACAGATGGCAAAGTTCTCGCCAAGACCGCCGCCGTGAATGTTAATGGTCGAGCACAGGGGCGACCACCCAGCAGGCACGTTGCAAAGGGTGTAGTCTTGAAACGCGCGAGACAACAAAAACGCAAGGGCAAACGAGCCAGACAGCGATGTCGGTAATTTCGAGCAGCGATGGACACCGCGAACATGTAGCTGGCAACCAACCCAGACACAGCTGAGGGCAGTCCCACTGAATAGCGGCGGGTTGCGTGAGGCCGCGTGGGGCCGTCACAATAGTAGTGCCGGAAAAAGTCGGGCAGACATTGGGGTGCCTTGAAATCACTCTACTACCAGGGCAGTACCACCAACATACAAAGGAAAAAGCAACCGAGCAGCCGGTCGTACCGAAGACTGCCGCATAGGGCCGACTAGGGCCGAGTAGTGCCGGGAAGAAAACAGGCAGACGTGGGGTGCCTTCAAATACTGGAGTACCACTGAAATACCAGTGCCGAAAACGAGTGGGCCAGACATTGGATTGCCTTCAAATGAATCTACTACCACTGCCAAAAAAAGATTCAAATACAAAACATAATGCAAGCGAGGACAGCCTCTGGTGCCGAGGAGTGACCAAAATCTACAGTTTGTGGAGCCGAGTAGTGCCGAGTAGTGCCGAGTGGTGCCGAGTGGGGCCGGGAAGGGGTCAGGCAGACATTGGGGTGCCTTTAAATTACTCTACTAATACAGAAATACCACCAAAATCTACAGTTTGTGGAGCCGAGTAGTGCCGAGTAGTGCCAAGTAGTGCCGAGTGGGGCCGGGAAGGGGTCAGGCAGACATTGGGGTGCCTTTAAATTACATTACTAATACAGAATCTACAGTTTGTGGAGCCGAGTAGTGCCGAGTGGTCGAGTGGGGCCGGGAAGGGGTCAGGCAGACATTGGGGTGCCTTTAAATTACTCTACTAATACAGAAATACCACCAAAATCTACAGTTTGTGGAGCCGAGTAGTGCCGAGTAGTGCCGCGTGGTGCCGAGTGGGGGCCGGGAAGGGGTCAGGCCACATTGGGGTGCCTTTAAATTACTCTACTAATACAGAAATACCACTAAAATCTACAGTTTGTGGAGCCGACTAGTGCCGAGTAGTGCCGCGTGGTGCCGAGTGGGGCCGGGAAGGGGTCAGGCAGACATTGGGGTGCTTTTAAATTACTTTACTGATACAGAAATACCACCAAAATCTACAGTTTCCGGAGCCGAGTAGTGCCGAGTAGTGCCGCGTGGTGCCGAGTGGGGGCCGGGAAGGGGTCAGGCAGACATTGGGGTGCCTTTAAATTACTCTACTAATACAGAAATACCACCAAATACCACCAAAATCTACAGTTTGTGGAGCCGAGTAGTGCCGAGTAGTGCCGCAGACATTGGGGTGCCTTTAAATTACTCTACTAATACAGAAATACCACCAAAATCTACAGTTTGTGGAGCCGAGTAGTGCCGGGGAGTGCCGCGTGGTGCCGAGTGGGGCCGGGAAGGGGTCAGGCAGACATTGTCGTGCCTTTAAATTATTCTACTAATACAGAAAAACCAGCAAAATCTACAGTTTGCTGCCAAAAAAAAATTCAAATACAAAGCATAATGCAAGCGAGGACGGCCTCTGGTGCCGAGGAGTGACCAAAATCTACAGTTTGTGGAGCCGAGTAGTGCCGAGTGGTGCCGAGTGGGGCCGGGAAGGGGTCAGGCAGACATTGGGGTGCCTTTAAAGTACTCTACTAATACAGAAATAGTAGTGCCAAGTAGTGCCGAGTGGGGCCGGGAAGGGGTCAGGCAGACATTGGGGTGCCTTTAAATTACTCTACTAATACAGAAATACCACCAAAATCTACAGTTTGTGGAGCCGAGTAGTGCCGAGTGGTGCCGAGTGGGGCCGGGAAGGGGTCAGGCAGACATTGGGGTGCCTTTAAATTACTCTACTAATACAGAAATACCACCAAAATCTACAGTTTCTGGAGCCGAGTAGTGCCGCGTGCCTTTAAATTAATTACTCTACTAATGCAGAAATACCACCAAAATCTACAGTTTGTGGAGCCGAGTAGTGCCGAGTGGTGCCGAGTGGGGCCGGGAAGGGGTCAGGCAGACATTGGGGTGCCTTTAAATTACTTTACTAATACAGAAATACCACCAAAATCTACAGTTTGGAGCCGAGTAGTGCCGAGTAGTGCCGCGTGGTGCCGAGTGGGGGCCGGGAAGGGGTCAGGCAGACATTGGGGTGCCTTTAAATTACTCTACTAATACAGAAATACCACCAAAATCTACAGTTTCTGGAGCCGAGTAGTGCCGAGTAGTGCCAAGTAGTGCCGAGTGGGGCCGGGAAGGGGTCAGGCAGACATTGGGGTGCCTTTAAATTACTCTACTAATACAGAAATACCACCAAAATCTACAGTTTGTGGAGCCGAGTAGTGCCGAGTGGTGCCGAGTGGGGCCGGGAAGGGGTCAGGCAGACATTGGGGTGCCTTTAAATTACTCTACTAATACAGAAATAGCACCAAAATCTACAGTTTCTGGAGCCGAGTAGTGCCAAGTAGTGCCGAGTGGGGCCGGGAAGGGGTCAGGCAGACATTGGGGTGCCTTTAAATTACTCTACTAATACAGAAATACCACCAAAATCTACAGTTTGTGGAGCCGAGTAGTGCCGAGTGGGGCCGGGAAGGGGTCAGGCAGACATTGGGGTGCCTTTAAATTACTCTACTAATACAGAAATACCACCAAAATCTACAGTTTGTGGAGCCGAGTAGTGCCGAGTAGTGCCGCGTGGTACCGAGTGGGGGCCGGGAAGGGGTCAGGCAGACATTGGGGTGCCTTTAAATTACTCTACTAATACAGAAATACCACCAAAATCTATGGAGCCGAGTAGTGCCGAGTAGTGCCAAGTAGTGCCGAGTGGGGCCGGGGGTCAGGCAGACATTGGGGTGCCTTTAAATTACTCTACTAATACAGAATCTACAGTTTGTGGAGCCGAGTAGTGCCGAGTGGTGCCGAGTGGGGCCGGGAAGGGGTCAGGCAGACATTGGGGTGCCTTTAAATTACTCTACTAATACAGAAATACCACCAAAATCTACAGTTTGTGGAGCCGAGTAGTGCCGAGTATGTGTCCGAGTGGGGCCGGGAAGGGGTCAGGCAGACATTGGGGTGCCTTTAAATTACTCTACTAATACAGAAATACCACCAAAATCTACAGTTTGTGGAGCCGAGCAGTGCCGAGTGGTGCCGAGTAGGGCCGAGTGGGGCCGGGAAAGGGTCAGGCAGACATTGGGGTGCCTCTAAATTACTCTACTAATACAGAAATACCACCAAAATCTACAGTTTGTGGAGCCGAGTAGTGCCGAGTGGTGCCGAGTAGGGCCGAGTGGTGCCGGGAAGGGGTCAGGCAGACATTGGGGTGCCTTTAAATTACTCTACTAATACAGAAATACCACCAAATACCACCAAAATCTACAGTTTGTGGAGCCGAGTAGTGCCGAGTAGTGCCGCAGACATTGGGGTGCCTCTACTACCACTGAAATACCACCAAAATACAGCCTGTAAAGCCGAGTAGTGCCGCGTGGTGCCGAGAGGTGCCGGGTAGTGCCGGGAGGGGGTGGGGCAGACATTGGAGTGCCTTTAAATTACTCTACTACAACTGAAATACCACCAAAATACAGCCTGTAAAGCCGCGTGGTGCCGAGAGGTGCCGGGTAGTGCCGGGAGGGGGTGGGGCAGACATTGGAGTGCCTTTAAATAGGGGGTGGGGCAGACATTGGAGTGCCTTTAAATTATTCTACTACAACTGAAATACCACCAAAATACAGCCTGTAAAGCCGAGTAGTGCCGCGTGGTGCCGAGAGGTGCCGGGTAGTGCCGGGAGGGGGTGGGGCAGACAATTGGAGTGCCTTTAAAATTACTCTACTACAACTGAAATACCACCAAAATATACAGCCTGTGGAGCCGACTAGTGCCGTGTGGTGCCGAGTGGTATCGGGTGGTGCCGGGAGGGCTGGGGTCAGGCAGACATTGGGGTGCCTTTAAATTTCTCCTAATGCAGAAATACCACCAAAATCTACAGTTTGTGGAGCCGAGTAGTGCCGAGTAGTGCCGCGTGGTGCCGAGTGGGGGCCGGGAAGGGGTCAGGCAGACATTGGGGTGCCTTTAAATTACTCTACTAATCAGAAATATCACCAAAATCTACAGTTTCTGGAGCCGAGTAGTGCCGAGTAGTGCCAAGTAGTGCCGAGTGGGGCCGGGAAGGGGTCAAGCAGACATTGGGGTGCCTTTAAATTACTCTACTAATACAGAAATACCACCAGTTTGTGGAGCCGAGTAGTGCCGAGTGGTGCCGAGTGGGGCCGGGAAGGGGTCAGGCAGAGATTGGGGTGCCTTTAAATTACTCTACTAATACAGAAATAGCACCCAAATCTACAGTTTGTGGAGCCGAGTAGTGCCGAGTAGGTGCCAAGTAGTGCCAGTGGGCCGGGAAGGGGTCAGGCAGACATTGGGTGCCTTTAAATACTCTACTAATACAGAAATACCACCAAAATCTACAGTTTGTGGAGCCGAGAGTGCCGAGTGGTGGTGCCGAGTGGGGCCGGGAAGGGGTCAGGCAGACATTGGGGTGCCTTTAAATTACTCTACTAATACAGAAATACCACCAAAATCTACAGTTTGTGGAGCCGAGTAGTGCCGAGTAGTGCCGCGTGGTACCGAGTGGGGGCCGGGAAGGGGTCAGGCAGACATTGGGGTGCCTTTAAATTACTCTACTAATACAGAAATACCACCAAAATCTACAGTTTCTGGAGCCGGTAGAGTAGTGGGTGCAGGCAGACATTGGGGTGCCTTTAAATTACTCTACTAATACAGAATACTACAGTTTGTGGAGCCGAGTAGTGCCGAGTGGTGCGAGTGGGGCCGGGAAGGGGTCAGGCAGACATTGGGGTGCCTTTAAATTACTCTACTAATACAGAAATACCACCAAAATCTACAGTTTGTGGAGCCGAGTAGTGCCGAGTAGTGCCGCGTGGTACCGAGTGGGGGCCGGGAAGGGGTCAGGCAGACCTTGGGGTGCCTTTAAATTACTCTACTAATACTACAGTTTGTGGAGCCGAGTAGTGCCGCGTGGTGCCGAGTGGGGCCGGGAAGGGGTCAGGCAGACATTGGGGTGCCTTTAAATTATTCTACTATTACAGAAATACCACCAAAATCTACAGTTTGTGGAGCCGAGTAGTGCCGAGTAGTGCCGCGTGGTGCCGAGTGGGGCCGGGAAGGGGTCAGGCAGACATTGGGGTGCCTTTAAATTACTCTACTAACACAGAAATACCACCAAATACCACCAAAATCTACAGTTTGTGGAGCCGAGTAGTGCCGAGTAGTGCCGCAGACATTGGGGTGCCTCTACTACCACTGAAATACCACCAAAATACAGCCTGTAAAGCCGAGTAGTGCCGCGTGGTGCCGAGAGGTGCCGGGTAGTGCCGGGAGGGGGTGGGGCAGACATTGGAGTGCCTTTAAATTACTCTACTACAACTGAAATACCACCAAAATACAGCCTGTAAAGCCGAGTAGTGCCGCGTGGTGCCGAGAGGTGCCGGGTAGTGCCGGGAGGGGGTGGGGCAGACATTGGAGTGCCTTTAAATAGGGGGTGGGGCAGACATTGGAGTGCCTTTAAATTACTTTACTACAACTGAAATACCACCAAAATACAGCCTGTAAAGCCGAGTAGTGCCGCGTGGTGCCGAGAGGTGCCGGGTAGTGCCGGGAGGGGGTGGGGCAGACATTGGAGCGCCTTTAAAATTACTCTACTACAACTGAAATACCACCAAAAATACAGCCTGTGGAGCCGACTAGTGCCGCGTGGTGCCGAGTGGTATCGGGTGGTGCCGGGAGGGCTGGTCATAGAGGGACGGCCTAGATTCCCGAGTAAGAGCGAGTCGGCCAGATGCTGCAAGAATCCAAGAGCTTCTGGGCGCCGCCCCAGCAGGGTCGGCGGATATATATACACATATTTATTCATTTATGTATGTAAAAAATTATGTTCTTTTAAAACTTGAGGGTGTTCCTACCCAACACGCGTGCCCTCTCGAGCATGTGACCAGGGTTAAGACTGGGGATTGTTGCACGACTTGGTGTGCCGACGTCTATTGAAAGACTGATATTTTATCCGTTTTTGCCGGGTGACCGGACACCGCAGTCACGGATTAATTTGGTTCCGTCTTGGGGGGTGCTCCACCGAAGTGGGAACGCCCTGACTCTCTGGGAAGCGGTCCGGAGGAATGTGCCATCATCCAAGGCGAATATAGAAGCTGTAGTATTGCCAATATTATTCCTTAGGGTTCCTGATTATAAGTATACTACAAAGGAGCCCAAAACCCATTATGAAGGCCCCGACAGTATCTATAGAAGGTTTGATTGATTTGGCACAAGCTCTTTCTCTGTGACTGCTCTTATTCTTTCTCGCTTTAGCATTGGTAGCATGGTATAGTCATTGCCCTCGTTAAGCTGTTGCTGTTGCCCTCTGTATTCAACCATGAGTCAATGAGTATTGCCGGTTGTCATTCATGTTGCCATGTTGGAGAGCCGGTTAATTTTAACGCTACGCCGCCCGCCTCGGCTCTGTAGCGGCAGGGCGAGGGGGCAGTGGATGTCGTATACACCATGCTAGGGGGACCTCTCAACCCCAACCTTTGCGTGCCCGTAGTACTAGAGCGTTGAAGCCCCCCTCCCAGCTTTGGCGTGCTGAGGCTCAACGAGCAGTGCATCGCCGGCCAGGAGTTCGTGCAGGATGCTCTCTGTCTTCTGGACCATCGGGAGATTTCTGTGGCATCGAGCGCCCCTGTGGAAATCAAGACTGAAGTGGAGTAGTGAGGGAACAGCACTGCCGGGATACCGAGCTCGCGCACTTTGCAGAAGATTCTGTTGTAGCTATGACGAGAGGGTAAGGCTTGCTGTGTCACCGTGTCGGTCCGGGCTGGCATTCAAGATGTGCAGCTGCTGTCGGTTGGTTGGAGACGTCTCATCATCTCAGAGAAGCCATGCATGTCACGCCGCCGTGTTGAACTTGAAAAACTCAGGCTCTTTCATGCTGTCCGATGATCCGAGCCGCAAGTGTGGCATTTCCTGGCTTCGCTGCGGTTGCACAAGCCTGGGGCTGTTGGTGGAGAGGCCGTGCCTTTCTGACAGGGTTGCCGGATTTCAAAGCCAGGGCTGCATGGTCGGGTAAACATGCCGAAGAATTTGCTTGACAAGAAAACATCACGACCAACAATACAAAGTTCTCCAACCCCCCAACCCCCATCTCACACTAAAACAGAGATCCGTAACCGGAAACGAAACAACACCGGAAGCCAACATTCAGGACGCGGGACCGAGACTTCGTGTCGGAGTGGCCGCAGACATTTGGCTTCTGTTGCTTCTCTGCAGCTTGGTCAGGAATGAACTGGGTCTTGGCGTTTGCGAGTTAGGGCCTCGGGTTTATGGTGGAGTTTGAGTGACTGACTCATCATAGCCACATGCTCATTCAAGAGCGAAGTCACAGCAGCAATGATTTCGAGGATGCCACAACCGTTGCAGTACAGACGAAAGAGGACGGTGATGCCCGAGCGACAAACTCTTTACATCGACTGCCTAAGAAGAGGAATCAAAAGCACCGTGTAGTCATCAGTACCACGGTGCCAGTACGGTAGCACGCTGTTGCAGGCTTGGGATTTGCGAGATGTGCCAGATTTCCCGTACTCAGGTGACAGTGCTCTCAGGGAGGCATCAGCTGTTCCTGTTCCTCCTTTTCTTCAATGTGCTCATGATCGTCTATGAGGCATGACCCCACAATAGACCACTACTGCCGGAATTTGTTTTAAAGGTCGTGCTCCAGCATCGTTTACGTTAGTGGAATTCCTAGGGTTAAAGTTCCCATCAGCGACATGTTGCTGTTTGCCTCCACGCTCAGTGGCCTATGATTAGGGTCATAAACCTCACGGCTCAACACCCGCGGTCTAGAGGCCATAGCTGAACGGCCGTGGCTCATGGGCGTCTTCATCGCAAACGAGGCCCCTTCGGCGTCATGTGGGCCTGAGCAGCTGGCAGGCCATCAGCGGAATGAAAGTTAGGAAGCTCCAAGAGGTTATGGTCTCTAGCAAAAGTTCGGGTGGCCTCGACATCGCAATAGTTCCTGTCGCTCTGAGGAAGCTTCGGGCCGGAACCCTCAAGCATAAAGGAATACCCTAACCTCTAAGCCGCTGCCTAAGGCCGTTGAATCCTCAACCCCTCAGCACAGCCCCCCGACGCCCTTTAAACCCTTAAACCCTCTCTTGCCCTAGGGCTCCAGTCACTTATGTGCGAAAAGTGGGTCACTAACCACAGATGAGCTTCTCCTGAAGCCCTAAAACCCTTAAGTCTGAAAACCTAGACCCTCAAAGCCCACACCCTGAAACCGCAAACCCCTCAACTCTCAAACCGCGTAGCCCTTAAACCCTCAACCCAGGTCTGCGTCCTGGCGATCCTGATTTGCTTCGACCGGCACTCAGAGTTGGGTCCGATGGGCCTCGGGTAGGTTTTGTGGGATTTAGGGTTTAGGTTTACGTGGTTTTATGATTGTTTCATCAGGGGTTTACAGGTGTTCAGGGGGCTTTTTACGAGTTTTACAGGGTAATGGAGATGAGTAGAGTAGAACCGTTTTACAAGGGCTTGATGTCGTAGTATTTGTGGTAGTCGAAGAGCCCAGTTGCCCAATATAGAGGCCTAAGTATTCTGAATTCACTAGTTCAATACTGTTCCATGCCCTGCTCATGTCGACTATGTACTGCAAAGCCCTAGTCTAGCTACTAAGGCCTCATAGATTGATTTTTCTATCAATATAGGAATCTAGTAGGGTTTAGGGTTACGTATTTCGTAGGTACAGAGGAAGTTACCCTTCCAATACAACCATAATCTAGTGCGATAGCCCATTCTGTGGGTGTCTTATTAGCTTAAGCTGTCCAAGCTGTCCGAAGCCTGGAGACTCACAGATCAGTCTTTAGCGCAATGCGGCTGCAGCTCTGAGCACAACACATGATCTACAGGTCAACTTTTTCTGCAAACACCTCGCTTGTTAGGAGCAGATCGATGAGATCGCCAAGTTGCAGCGGCAGCAGCAGCGTTCCTCGGCTTTGAATTGCGAACTTGCGGTCGAGACTTTTCCAAGACATATGTTGCCTGTGTTTGCACGGACTCTGCGAACTGCTGGCAGGATACCGAGAAAGACGGGAAAGGCTGGCAGCAAAGGCCAAGAGTGCACGAGAAGACTGGATGAAGGTGCCAGGGACCTGCCTGACGGCATATTCCAATCTGCATGACGGTTTACGGACGAGTAGCGGCTTCTGCCAAAAGAAGGTGCAGCGGCTCTTCGACCTTTGGAACTACCGTGCCTCGGCTCTGTCGTTAGAAACGCCTCGCCATAGGAGTCCCTCTGTCTCTCGCTGAGGCACGCAGCCCTTCCTGAGAATCATGGGCAAGCTCCACCGTACTCTGGAGGGCATGGACAGGGATGCCTGCATGCCGCGATTGAAGGAGACTCGACTGCGCTTCAAGGTCACGAGTGGAGGCCAATGATTGTAACTGCGAAGATGCCTTTGATGAAGTGATCGTTTCCTCAAGTGTCATCGTGTCTCTGCTGGAGTGTTTTCCATGACGGACTCGTGGAATTTGCCTGTTTAGGACGCGGGGGCCAGGCGTCCCTCAACGATTGCTCACGAAGCACAGCGACTACAATGGCTGCAAGAAACGAACGAGCCTCTTGGCAGTGTTGCTTTCGTGTTTGTCCAGCTGTCGTACGAGTAGCTACTGTAGTCTGAGGAGTCATGATGTTGCTGCTGTCTGAGCACACACCAGAACTCATGTGTCTCACATGCAAAGTCTCGTGCGGCACCAATGTGTCTTGATTGGTGCGGCCGCGCTCAGCTTAAGCACCAGTTGTATGTTCATCAATACAGCTCTAGAAGTTTACGGCTATCAAGCAAGACCGCGACCAAATGAGGATCATAATCCACTGTGCTTCCGAGCTACACTCTTCCCCAAAGCTATGGAAGCTTGTGACCTGCTTGAGTGCAATCCAAAAGCCAAAGGCGCATCGGCGAACTGGATGCACGCCTCGAGGGTGTTGAGTGGGCCAGCGAGGAGATCCATCTCGCGTAGCTGGATCAAAGGTGTGCCGGTGTAGGCAAAGAGCTCAACAGATGCTCCAGAGGCGAAGAACATTTGTGCACTGGTTTCTCTGCACATCCGCGCAGGTTTTGAACGTCTGTGCGCGCATTGTGTGTCTGTCTGTGTGTTTCTGCGTGTGGACACTGCACTGTCCACCCGGCCAGTGCCATCCTATTGCGTGCTGCATGCATGCATGCTATGCTAGTTGCTGTGCACATACGATACATCTGAAGCTGCCTTCAGGACCCACTGCACCACGAAACAAGGCGCGCGGGTCGAATTCACTGCTGGTGCCCTGCTGCGTTTGACGCGACGTCACTATAACCGAGGGCCGTTTCTGGCGTACCGTGTTGTGCAACGATCAGCTACATAGTAGTGAGTATCTTGTTGCATGAGATGTAAACAGAACCCTGAGTCTCGATAAGCAGATGCCACAGATTTCATGTTCTAGCCTCACTTCTTCGGGACAAGGGAGCTCATCGGTCGCATCTTCAGTGGAAGCCTGACTGTTTGACTGGCGGTTTCACGAATCAGGGTTGCAAACATGCCGGATGGTTCAGTGTTCAGTCCTCCTTCACCAGAGTTGCACACGCTGGAGAGATAGCCGCATCTCAAGCTTTGAATGCAGGAGGCGCACAGGCTTGCTGCTCCAGGCATCGTGGCTGCAGTGGTTTCTAACACTGTCAGTCCCAACGTTATTCATTGCAATTGGGCTAGAATGAAAGACAAGCCGAGTCAATCGTGTTTCCTTTATCATGGCCACCGGCATAAACTGCGTTCACACTTTGCAGTCTCTTGCATGAGGGCACGAGGTTTTTGTTTCGCCAATGCTTTTCAGCCGTGGATGATACGACGACAGCTTACGTTCATGATTAACCCCGAGTTTTGCCAGTCTAGTATTATGCATGAGTCTTGAGCTGCGTCAAACCGGAGCACATAACGATGTCAATACTGAAACCTTGAACTCTTCTCGAAAGTGTAACTCGTATGCTCTGCAGCTGAGGATGCGGAGCGAAGCGCCGCCACCTGGTCTTCATAAGAAAGGATACATGTATCATGGATTGGTACCAGCTGGTGCATAAATTTACATAAGTGCCTACACAGGTCAATACATATATGCATATGATACATATTTATATAATTGAAAAGTTTATGGTGTATGTGTATATGGGTATTTAGTATGCAAGTGTGGCGAATGATGCAGTCGAGTGTTATACAATTCAATCCGTAATGCGTAATGTTGTCGAGCTTAGATCTTGCAATGACTTCGGCGTCGCTAGCAAACCGGGCCGACGAGTGATCGTGCCGGGAACACGATTTGAGTGCACACTGTGCGCTGGGCCGTCCAACATAGCATGGTAGGAGCACCTCGAACGCTCAGGAATCTAACAATCCAACCCCGGTGCCCTCAACCTAGGACCGATGGAGCAGGACCTGCTTGATGGAATATTCGAAATATTAGACGTTGGTGACCGGTTCGCGACAGTCAGTGTTCACATCTCTTACATTTGCATGTGCGATTGTTTGTCTTGCCTGCTTGCCTGCCTGCTGTCTGCCCGTCTGCTGTCTGTGGGTCCGTCCATATGTTTTTGTGTTTGTGCGTCCATCCGTCTGTCTGTCTGCATGTATGGACATACTTGTTCTATGTGTGTGTTATATGTATATATATATATATATATGCAGATCACAACAACATGCAGCAACGTACAGTGCTACATTCACGCCAAGCGTCTGAAGCTTCGGACGAAGAGTTCCTGTGTCGGGGTGGGATCCCAAAGTATTGCTTTGTAGTTGTCTCTTCCGGATTTCAGCTGCCCAGCGAAGCAAAGAACCTACCTAACGACTGCCTTCAGACTCAGGATGTTCTCGACTGGTTTCGTTCAGAGCTCAGCTTGATGCTTTCTGCTCTCAGTCATATTTCTGGAGAGAGAGCTTGCGGATTCAGATGTCAGCGGTCAGAGCTTCGTTTATCTGCCGCAGCCATTGTGCGCGTGTTTGTGTGTGTGATATTGAAGGAGACAACTGAGACGAACCCCATTTAACGACCTTGCAAGAATGGCACTCGCAATTGCGGCCGCAACACAAAAAAACACAGCCCTTGTAGTGCTCACTGTACTCCCCAGATGCCTTAAACCCTGATCAACTTCAATCCCAAGCTTCCGGAAAAAATGTCTGAAGTCCTAAACACTTTGTCATGGTTTCTCGACGTGTCGTATTGTGTTATTCGGAGGGCTCGCAACGGCAAGTCGTAACCATACCGCAGCCGTTCGACTTAGGCGCATCCGTTCCGCATGCCGACGGTGTGCTAGCCTTTTCTTTAGACTGTCACGGCTTGATGCCTTCATCCTCGGACTCGTCCCGCTCCTGTCCTCCCCGCCGTCGGCGGCGAAGGGCCCGGCGGTCTTCGAGTACATCTTCCTCGTGTTCGAGGTTGGCCTCCGGCCTATCATATCAGCCTCTTGACTTTTTCTGTCAGGCGGCCCCGGTCCCGCCTCTCCGCCAGGAGGCCGACCCTTCCTTTCTGCGCTTTGCTGGCTGAGGTCCTTTGGTGCTCAGCTCCGGTCCATCATGCATGGTCCCCAGCTGCAAGCATTTTTCTCTTTTTGCTTCATGTTGGCTCTTCCCAGGCCTGACCCGGCTCCTGGTCCGCCGGTCTCGCCCCCGAAGGCCTGATTGCAAGCTTTGTCCGGTCGTGCTCTCGCCCTGGCTGCTTGACTTGCCTTGTTCTGCTCGAGCGACCCTTGCTTCCCTCCGCAGCCGCTTTCAGCTTTCATCGCTCTTTGCCCTTTCTGCCTTTCTCTCTCGGTGATCATGGCCCGCTTCGGTGGACACGCTCTCCGTGATCTGGCCCGTGGTGTGGTGGGCGCTGCCGTGGGCATCCGGTCCGACGTCGACCCGACTCCGGCCGATGTCGAGGCCCCTCCGGCTCCTGATGCTCAGGCTGTCCCGACGGAGGGAACGTGGCTCCGGACCCGGTCCCCCCCGTGGATCCCCCTGCCACCCCGTCCCAGCCCCCTGCCAAACGTGGTGCCGACTTCCTCGCACCCACGCCCCAGAAGCAGCCTCCTAGCCACCCCCCTACGACTGGTGGTCTGCCCGCTGCTCCCGCCGGACCCCCTAAGAAGAAAGCCAGCTTTCCTCCTGCCCGGCCTTCCACCCCCTCTTTCCCCCCTGCCAAGCCCGTTGCCGCTCCATCTGAAGCGGCTCCCAAAGCCCCCGCGGCAGCTGCCAAGGCCGCCCCGCCGCCCCTGGAGACGGACCTGTCATTTTTATGCACTCTTGATGATGATGCGATTTACCGGTCCCTTGCCGACCTGCCACCGTCCCAGGTGACTCGCCTCCTTCTTTTGATCGCCGAAGTCGCCCAGGATGTCACCTATGCCATGGGCAACCTGGGCCAGCTCGACGTTGAGGTTCCGGTCGCGCACATGTCCCAGACCGGCCCGCCTCCGAACCGAGGCCGCTATCCGCAGACGACGCGTGGTGACCTTGCACCTTTGCCGTCCGGTCCGCGCTTTCCGGACCAACAGGCAGCCGACGCCATCCATGCCGGTCTGGACCAGGCCGATGGCACCAGGCCTGATCCCAACCCGGCCCCGCCAAATCCCACCGATGGCGCTGGTGCTGAATCCGGTGGCCTGCGAGTCCTGCCCGGATTCGCCCCCCCCCGCATTGACCCGAACGAACCTCTGGTCCACTCGGATCCCAACCGCCCCGGCTGCACTCCGGTCTTTGTGGACCGTGGCCAACTTACCCCGCGCCGTGCCAATACCGGCCCCTGGACCATCAGCGAAGGCTGGGAGCGCTTGAGCATTTTCCTGCCTGAGACCCCCGGCCCTTTCATCCGCACGGACTCCTGGCCCTGGCCCGACCTCTTTTGCTTTGAGGAGCAGGACTTGCCAAGCTGGGCTCCGCTCCAGGACCCTCCGTCCGTCCTTTCTCACCTGCAAATTCGCGGATACTGTTCGCACGATTGTCCGGCCCGGGGCCTGCACTGTCTCCGCATTTGCCTCCGGCCCGTGATGTTGCATTCCCGGACCGATCACACCGGGCACAAATGCCCGTATTGTATCCAAGACGGGTACTAGGCACCTGGTCCGGACCGCCCCGCATGCCCCGTGCCTTTAATGCCCGTAATCCAACTAGTCTCCTAAGATCATCGTGTGTGGGGTGGCCTGCTGGCCCGGCTCTTTCTACTTTTCCGCTTCTCGCGGCCGGCCCTGATCCGGTCCCGCTGCGGCGTTGCCTAAAAAGTCGTGGTTCCCCGCCTTGCTGCACCTGCCTGGCTCTTTCAGAGACATGTTGCTTTTCTTGTTTCCTGCCGCCAGGCCAACATCGAGCTGGAGACCATCGAGGATTCGCCGGTCTCTTTCTTGCGTGTGTTTGCGCTTTGAGTTGTATGCCCTTCCCGGCCAGGTACCCGTGCATCCGCCGGTGGCCCCTGCGGGCAACCCGGCCTTGGCATCTGACCTTGGTTCCTTGCTTCATGGCTTTCCCTTGCAGCCCACCGCTGCCGCTCCACTGGTCACACCGCCCCGCCCGCAGCGGTTGGATTTTTTGGGCGACGCCTCCCCGCGTCCTTGCGATTCTCCGGCCTCGGCCCCTGGGCCCTCGGCACCGCCTCATTCCAGCCCCTCGTCGGCATCCTCTACATCCTTTCAGGTCGTGCCGGTCCCTACTGCTCACCCGGTTGGTCCTCCCTTGCCTGGACTTGCATCATTGCTTGTGCCTCGCCTTGGGCTGGTCTTGCCCTGTCTGTCCCGTGCTTCTTTGTCGGACCTGGCTGCTCGTCCCCGGCCCGCTCGGCCTCGGCCTTCCCCCTTCCCCTTGTTCCGCCCTCTTCGCTGCGCCCTGCACGTTCGGCTCCCACGTTTCCGTTGGGCCCACCACTTTTATCCTGCCCACGGGTACCCCGCCTGCCCCGCGACCCATTGGCGTACCCCCGGGGTCTTTCTGCCTCTTCTTCGGAAACGCGGCCTCCTGTGATTCCCCCGGCTCCCTTTGTGCATTCTGGCTTTTTGCCACTGGCCACTGACGCCTCCGATTCCTCCTCCATGGAATCCACAACTGCTCGCGCCTTGGCACATTTTCGCAACATGTTTTGCGACTTTGTTCAGGAGCTTGGTGACCGTTGCACCCTGTTTTTGCATACCAAGCTGGTACCCGTGCCCCGGGAACTCCAAGCACGTGCCATCGCGAAAAATGCCCCCAGCACTTTGCAGCTTTACTTGCGTTCCTGGTCTGCCTGGGTTCGGCGCTGCATCCTTTCTGGGATTGATCCTGCCGACCCGCCGCCCGGTGCACTCCCGTCCTGGCTTCAGTTGACTTCCGCCCCCTCTGGCCTTTCCACCACAAGTTTTAAGGCTTTGAGTTGGATGGCCAAGGTGGCGGGCTTGCCATCTATCCAGGTGCAGTTGCACACTCCGCTTTGCTCCGCGTTTCTCTCCTCGACCGGTCCGGTGGAAAAACGTGAAGCCTTGCCTTTTTCCGTGTCCTTTGTCGTCTGGCTCGCGGTCCGTCATGGATCCCACTACTCTTCTTGCCGAGGTCCTGCTGCGTGGGTCGGTCTTGTGCCTGATTTGGTCGTCTCTTCGTTGGAACGACGGCCTTTGGTCTCCCCCGTTCCGGGTGATACTGCAATCAGGCTCCACTGCCCTTACCGGTGTCGCCACCCGCACAAAAAGCTGCCGGGCCAACATGCCGTGGGGATGCCAGCTCTACGGGTTGACGGGCTCACCTTCCGCTTGTTGGGGCATGTCCTGGCTTAACGCTCTTCAGCAGTGTGTGTCCGACACCAAACGCATTTTCCCTGACCGCAGGGTGGATTTTTTGCTGCCGGTCCTCGGGCCTGACCCTGCCTCTCCGGTGTTCGTCTCTCCTTTGCATCGGTCCCGCGCCATGCCTTGGCTCCGGGCCCTCCTGCAAGAACACTGGCACCTGCATTCCTCCGAAGCCTGCCCGCCCGAGCATTCCATGTATGGGGTTCACAGCTGCAAGGCCACCGTCCTGTCCTGGGCCAGGCAGCTTAATCTTGACCCTGAGCTTCGCCGTCTCCAAGGGCATCACCGTCCGTCCTCCATGGAGGGCTCCGTTCGGGTCTACAGCCGAGACGATATAGGCCCAATGTTATCATTGCAGGCTGAAGTCATTAACCGAATCCGGTCCGGTTACCGCCCCCTCCAGCCAGTGGGCCGCGGCTCTAGCAAACCATTGCCCGACTTTCGGGTGTCCTTGCCGCCACCTGATAGCAACATGGGTGGCATGGCGCCGCGGGAACGCTCCGGCCGCTCGCGCTCCCCCCGGCGCCGTCCGGAACCGGCTGAAGACGAAGTCGAAAGCACTGACCTCTCCGATGACAGCTCCGACTCCGAACAATCCGGGGCCTCGGGTTCGGACGATGACTTTGCCAAGCCTCGGCCCCCTCGCTCCCAACAGCGAGAGCCCAGCATGAATGGGTTCCTGCACAACCCTCGCAGCAACGTCTTGCACCGTCCCGTTCCGTGCCCGCCCGATACTGCAAAGTCCGTGCGCGTGTCGCTGTTGGGTCTGGAACCATTCTGGGTGAAACCGGCCTGTGGGGCCTCTGTTGGTCAGCTCTGCTCTGAGGCATGGTGTTCCGCCCCGCCTGCGGGTGCCCAGCTCTGCCTCCGCCGCGCCTGCCAGACTTGATGCCCCGCCCCGCCGTAAAGATGCTGCATCTGCATGTGCCAGCTCGTGCCAGTTCCATGCGCATGTGGTCACACTTGCTTGCACTGTCTTTCCCGCAGCCGTTTTCTGTTTCAGCCGGCCCTGCCCCCCTTTAGTGCCGCCCTCTTCCGCCATGGCTTCTGATGGTTATCCGTCGGCTGGGCCTGGGGACCGTCCGGTTCGAGCGGCCTGGGACCGTGACGGCGCGGTTCTCCTGCCGTCTGCTCCGGAACTGCAAGACCTGGAAGATTTAACCGACCAGCAACTCCTTGACCTCTTGCGTCGCTGCTCGGTCGGCTTCCTGGCCCGACTGGTCCGTCTTTGTGGGAGCATCCTGCGCCCGCCCCGGGTCGTGATCTACTGCCAACTGCCATGCGTCAACCCGGAATGTCCACAAACGTGTGGCCGTCAGGTGGATCCGACCCGCAGACGCCAGCATCAGAACCACGCGTGCCGCATATGCCACCGCTTCGGATGGTAGCTCAGCGGCTGCATATCAGGGGGTTGGCCGGAGGCCGACACGCTCCCCATATTACTCCGAACATTGACGGTGCTATTCGCCGGCGCGGACGGTCGGTCAAAAAAACCTGGACTCGGCCCTGCTCCCGTGTTTGCTGGGATTGCCTGCCTCTGTCCGCTTATTACTGCCTCCGTCCCGCTGCCATTTTCAGGCTCTTAGGATCAGGGTAGGCCGTCAGCTTGGACTTTTCCTGTCGTCAGCCTGGTGTTGTTTGCTCTTCCGACATGTCAAGTTCTGGCACACCCGCCTTTGACGATCCTGCTGCGTTGGTTGCCCTGCTCCGGCAATGGTCTGCTCCTGATGAGCTGCTGGAGGTCCTCACTGTAAAGGGCTTCAAGACCATCGCGACCATTGCCTATGCTATCCCACCGGACGGTTCCCCTGACGACTGGATTCGCGTCTTATGGCCTCCGGCAGACCCCAACGACACCTTGGCCAGGATCACACCAGCAGCCAGTTTTGCACGACGCCTTCTGGTGCAGGCGCGCGACCTTGTTCATCCGGCACCTGCCCCGTCGACCCCTGCCTCTGCTGGGAGCGCTCCGCCTTCCCTGCCCGGCCCGAAAATCACGGCCGAGGCGGCGGAGTTGCTGCGTCAAAAATTCATTGAGGCCTACCCGGGAGAAGTCCTCTCCCCGTCGAGCACACCTAGCTTGGAATTTCTTAACCGCCTCCGCTCTGAGTTGGACAAGCCAACAACCCTGTGGATTCCTTGGCGCTTGAGGACGTCCGAGCATGACGTTCAGACGTTCTATGAACATCGCCGACCCAGGTCGGACAACCAGCTCCTCCGCTCCTTGTTGGATGACGTTCCGGACCCGGTTGTGGCTCACGCGTCCGTGCCTACTTCAGGTCCTGTCGAGCCTCTGCTTCGCCGCCACTTCGGGATCCTGGTCACGGCCTTGGCTTTTCTGGGTGACCTGCACCTCCGTATCGGCAAGACTTTTGCTGAGTCTTTCATTGCATCCGCTACGGCTGTCCCCCTGGATCCTTCCCTCCGGGCACCGTCTCTGCAAGAAGTACTTGCAGCCGACCGGTCCATTTGGGCTGCTGTTGGCACACTGATGCGAGATGAGAAATGGTCGCTGTCTGACTCCATTCATGAGGTTTCCGTCACCCGACACATGATTCCGATACTCCTTCTCCTTTGTCCGCCCACCTTCGCAAGGGGCTCGCCCTGGCATGCATCCCCCCTCCCCGTGTGCACGCCCTGCCAAGGAGACAGCTCCATCCTTGGATCGGGCCCCCCCTTCCACTTCCCCGGCCGATCCTCCTGCCCGCCCGGCACTGTTCCTGGACTTGTTTTCAGGTTGGGCCTTGACCGCATTGCCCCTATAGACGTGCTTCATGGGGAAGAGGTGGACTTGCTTCTGCCCCAGCATCAGTCGTCCATGCGGAAACTGTGCTCGTCTGGCCTCGTGCGTGTGGCTGTTGCCGCCCCACCCTGCTCCAGCTTTAGCCGCGCTCGCCTTAAACGCGGTGGCCCGCCCGCAGTCCGGACACCAGCACACCCGCACGGCATCCCTGCTCCTTCCCAGCGCCAGCAGGCTGAACTGCAACGCTCTGACAAGCTGCACGAGCTCTGTCGGGAGCTCCTCACTCTCGTGCTTCTCTCGGGTGGTCTGGTGTTGCTTGAGAACCCATCTAGCAGCTTGTTGTGGCTCACCGACCCATGCAAAGCCTGGATTCGCCACCACTGCCTGTCCGCCGTGGAAATTGCCGCTTGCTCTTTTGGCGTGAATGCCAAAAAGAGCTGGACCTTTATCTCCAATTTGGCGGACCTTTCCTCTCTGGCCTCTGCCTGTTGCCACCCGCCGGGCACTCACCCGCCCTTGGCAGGCAAGCGTGATTCGTCCGGTGCCTTCCTTACACGGACCACTGCATGCTACCCGGACGGTCTCTGCGAGCGCTTTGCGGCACTGATGGCACCATATCTCTCCCGGTCAGTGGGTCTAGTCCCGTTCCTCTCCTGGGAAACGGCTCTTCTTGAGCCACAGCTCTGCTGGCCACTCCCTTCCTCCCGGATTGAAGATGGTGCAGGTTCGTGCTCCACTGCTTCCTGGTCCAAACCGTCCGGTCCCGACACCTTCGGCTCCCTGCGCAAACTCTGGGTTAAGCGCATCCTGTCGGGGGATTTCCTTGCCAAATTTCGCGCTCGCCTGGCATCCGGTTCTAAGGATGCCCCCATTTCTGAATCCGAACTGGAACCTTTCTTGGGTGACTTGCGCTCCTTTCTGGGCTTGGCGGTTACTGACTTTGATACACTTCTTTCGGTCCCTCCGGGCCAACCGTTCCGCCTGTTCCTTCTGGATGCGCTGCTCCAGCTCTCGCGCGACCCGGATCGACCCTTCGTGGACTTGCTGCTTGAAGGAGTACCTCTGGGTGTTGACGAACCTATGCCTGCCTGCCCAACGCTGTTTCCTGCTTCTGCCACCAAGGACCCATCCATGGACTTACAGCATTGTTCCTCCTCCTGGGGATCAGCTCTCTCCGACCTGTCCACTGTTGATTCCCTTCTTCAAACCGAAGTTTCCGAAGGTTGGGTGCGGGAGGTTCCGGGCGGTCTTGACAGCCTCGTCGCTACCTATGCTCGCACCGCCGTGGGGAAGCTTGGACTTGTTAAGGCCCCCGACCGTGACCCCCGCCTGGTGGTGGATTCCAGCGTTTCCGGTGTTACAGAACACACCACTCTTCCTAATAAGTCCGCGAACCCGACCATCTCGGGTCTCCGTCGCTGCTTTCCCCTCCGTCTGGCCCTGGAACAGCTCTTCGCACTGATCTTGGACGTCAGCAAAGCTCACCGGCGCATACTGATCCGGGCCGCCGATCAAGGCCTTCTTTGCTTCTTCCATCGCGGCCGCCTGTTCCAGTGTCTCACATTGAATTTCGGTGCACGCGCGTCCGGCTTTTACTGGGCACGATTGGCGGGGATTCTCTCACGCCTCATGCATCGGCTTCTGTTCATCCGCCACGCCCTGCTCATCTATGTCGACGACCTGATCTCCCTCCTTTCCGGTCCGTCCGCGCCGGTCTGGGCCGCTGTGCTGTGTGTTTTCCTTCTTGTGCTTCGCGTCCCAATGAGTTGGCACAAAGCCTATTTGGGCGCACGGCCGACTTGGATTGGTTGGTCTATGTCCCTGGAAACCTTTACCGCCACGCTTGAACCACCGAAGCTGGCCCGTCTCCGCCTTCTGATTTCTTCTGCCCGTTCCGGGGATGCGATTCCACTACACCTGCTTCGCAAACTCACCGGCAAACTCCTTTGGGTTTGTTCCCTGTTTCGTCCCTTCCGGCACCGCTTTATCGGGACCAGAGCCTACCTCCACTTGTTCATGTTGCTGTGGCCCCCTCTACGTGGGAATCCTTCCGTGCAGCCCTGTCCAAAGACCTCGTGCTTACAAAATCTGTCGGTCTGGCTAGTTGCCCCCAGGGCTGCACCCTGGTCAGTGTGGCTTCCCGCCCTGTTCATACACTGAAGGATGTTCCTCTCCACTTTGCCGGTGAACGCCGACTCTGGATTTCCGTCCGCTCCCCTCCTGACTCTGACCGGAAGCTTTCGCAGGAATCTAAAGCCGTCTTGGACCTTTGGCACTCCTGCTTGTGTCAGACCATCCCGCTCTTCCCGCTGTCTCTGTCGCCGCTGTTAACTTGCGAGGCGTTTGCTGACGCCTGTGCCGACAGCAAACACGCGGGCTTGGGCGGCTTCGTGGCTTTTCCCTCCGGCCGTACGGTCTGGTTCCGATCCGCCTTATCCCCTGCGGATCTTGCTCGACTTTGTGCTTGGTATTCCCCTGACACTTCACCTCAGAAATTCATCGCTGCCTGGGAACTCCTTGGCCAAATCGCGCTTCTCTGGTGCGTTGCTCTCGTTGTCCCGGCCGCTCACCACCCAGTGCATTTCGTCAGCCGCTGTGACAACAGCCCTTCCGAATCGGCTTCATGGAAAGGCCTCTCTACGGCCCGCGGTATGTGTGACCTACTGCACTCCTACCTGTTGTGGCAGCGTCATTTCTGCATTTCCGCACATATCGATCATGTTCCGGGGTTCCGTAACAAGATTGCTGATGCCCTGAGCCGGTCCCGCGACCCGGGCACATTGGGACTCAATCCTGCCGATGAGATCCTGGTCCCTTGGCACCTGTTGTGTGGTCCTCCGCGCCCGTCTTACTCTCCTGCGGCCGCTTTCAACCGTGACCTCTTCCCGGCTTTGGACTTCTGACTTTGGCTGTTTTCTCCCCGGTGCGGGTACTCCTTTGCCTGGGCTTCGTTCAAGATCTTGGCTTCAGAAAACCGCAAAGTCCTTTTCGGCACCCGGCTCCGACGTTTTCCGTCCTGACCGGTGCCCGTACCGATCCGTAGCAGTCTTCTTTGGGGTTTGTGTCCGGCCCGAGGTACCGGCACTTATCCAGACCGCTACGGGTTTCAGCCATCCGGAAAAAGGGGTCCGTCTGCATTTTTTCCTATGCGTGCACACCGATCGTAACGGACTAGTGCCCTCCGAATAACGGTTTCTCGACGTGTCGTATTGTGTTATTCGGAGGGCTCGCAACGGCAAGTCGTAACCATACCGCAGCCGTTCGACTTAGGCGCATCCGTTCCGCATGCCGACGGTGTGCTAGCCTTTTCTTTCCCGCCACCTCCCCCTTGGTCTCCGCCTTTGATTTAGGCCCTTCAATCCGCAGCTTACAGCCTGGATTTCTGGTGTGGGTTGGACTTTGCCCTTTCCTGCATGCGTAGGCCGGCTTCAGAAAACCGCAAAGTCCTTTTCGGCACCCGGCTCCGACGTTTTCCGTCCTGACCGGTGCCCGTACCGATCCGTAGCAGTCTTCTTTGGGGTTTGTGTCCGGCCCGAGGTACCGAATAACAGTCGGGTAATTTTTTTATATGTACTTAAACCCAACAAGGAACAAAAGTGTAATTTTTTGCTACTATCCCTGAACTCTAAACCCTCAACCCCAGACCCCCAACCCCTAAACCCCTCAACCCCCAGACTCCCCAACCCCTAAACCCCTCAAAACCCTGCCATGAAGCCCAGGCAGGCGCTCCGCCTCCGATATGGCGGTCATGGATCTTCCATCCTGAGCGCAGAGACTCCAAAGCCCCTTCTTCACAGACGTTTCCTAGGCTTTAAAAGCATTTTTTAGAGCTTATAAAGACTAATTATAGGAGGGTTTGAGATGTAGCGATGTGGAGGTTGGGGATGTTGGAGTTTCTGGGAAAGAGCCTCATGTTCAGACCAGCATGCGCGGCTCCTTCGGCTGCTACTTGTAGGTAGGATGAAATTTTTACGCGAGCTAGAGGTGCCAGTTTGGTGCTTCTTGGCTAGTTCACCTGAAATGGCCTCCAGGCCTTGCATCGCTGCTGCCTTGCTTGGAGGTAGCAGGGTTAACGAGCCGTGCCTGTCTGTAGGGTCACTCTGTGCCTGTCAGAAGCAAAGGAGCAAGTGGAGATCGCCTCGTTTTCGGAAGCAAAATGACACACAGTGTGAGCCCACGAAGCGGGCAGCCTGTCGATTGGACGCATGGTTTAAAATGTGTTTGCCCATCTTGATGTCGATGTATCTGAGCTTGCGACGGACCTTGCCAATCATGAGAAGCAGGCATCTGAAAGTCCCAAGTCCTAAAAGCCTTCAGCCCCCAAACTCCTCGACTCCTAACCCCTAAACCCTTAAACCCCAACCCTAAGCACTTGAACCCTCTCGGACTGCCCAGGCGTCACATCCACGCGAGGCGAATCGTGCACAGGGATCTCAAGAGCTGCGGCCTCGGCCCAGCCTTGACACGACACCGGACATGTCGTCCTTCTTGAGCCCGCCCCGATGTTCTTTCACGAGAGACGGATGTATGCATACTTCATTTTATGTTTATCATTCTCCGGTCAGATATAGTGTGTTATATCATTATCTCATTACACTAGTGTGTCATAATATATTATGCTGGGTCATATCATATTTTTCAGAGAGAGTCATTTTGCACCGTACGTCTTACTACTGTGCTCAAAGATTCGCACGTCCGGCATCACTCTTTCTCTCTGCAAGCGGATGCCAAGCTTGACTGAGACACCATTATGCTGAATGAAGTTCGGCCGGCCCAGGCCAGAATATTTTCCTGTCCAATGCGGGAGGTCGCGGTTGTATTGTAAAGTGCCTTGGCCGGCAAGAGGACTGAGTGACACATTGCGCAAGTGCTAACCCTTCGCCTGCCCCTTTTGCCTGCGAATCCTCACTGCCCTGGCAAGGATCGGAGATTTCGGCATCGCGAAAGTGCTGCAGCATACCAGGCAGGAAAGACACAATGCCCAATGCCCGCAAGGAAAGCTGACAAGACGACGACATGCCGTGATTCAAGTCCCGATCTGCGCTGCAAGCTTGTCCAATTGGCCTTTCCATCGTCCATGTTATCTTTGCATTTGCCCCTCTCCTCGTACTTCATGGTTGCGTTCATCCGTATGGTCATCGTCAACACCATCAGCATGAGAATCAATATAACAGTAACTATCACCATCGACATCACGACCGCGAGCACCTACATCATGTCAGTCGTCATCAGCTTCACAGGCCCACCAGAACTTCTGCCATCTTCATGTTAGTTCGTATCTTCATACATTTACATCACCATCAAAGTCACTACGATCGCAACCACGATGCTCATCATCTTTGTTGTTGACATTGCTGCTGCTTAGAGTGCTTTCGTGTTGTCAAGGTTTGAGTTTTGTGTCGCCAACTGAATCTTTGTATTCATCGGCAACGTCATTGTCACCACCGCATGCACCACCATCACCATCATCATCATCATCACCATCACGATCAAAATCATCATCCACCCAACCTTACCCATCTTCACCCCATGTCCGTCCTCACGCTTGTTGCCCTCGTCGTTGCCATCACTTCATTGAAATCCCATCCTGCCCAGGGGTTTAGCACAGACCTTGATCGGCACGCCGAGCAACCTCCCCCCAGAAGCCTGCCACCCAGTTGGTGGTACATTGGGTAGTTTGCAATCCTGCGTCAGCCTTGGAGTAACATCTATAGTCATTGTCATTCGGCTCACCGGGTTCTTGCTTGGGGATTCGGGAGTGGCTTTACTGAGCTCTTTGTCTGCCTGTCTCGGTACAGACAGGCATAGGTGAATCAGAGCTTGAATGCATGCACGCATGCACGCCACTCAGACCAGTAAACTATGCTTGCGTCGGATGCTTCTTTGAGCCGTGTGAACTACACAAGACGTGGTCAGCGTGGATGATCAAAACCTTAAACGCTGCCAAACTCAAGCGGCATCAAGGGGCCCATGCTTGAGGGCCTCTTCAGGTCTCAGCGTGCAGTACCCAAGCAGCTGAGGCCCCATCCCTATGAAGTCCCGACAACACTGCGTGCTCCCAGCTTCGGAGCATCTTTGAGCCCCAGGCAAAGAGAGAGATCCGATAGCCCAAGACCTCTGAAGATCGAAGACCGAGCGCCTAGGTTTGTGACAGCAAGCCGTATGGCACGAAGGCCTGTTATGGGAGCACGAAGGTCTTCTCTGCATTGGAACAAAGGCTCAAGAATGCATGAGCCCTCGATGTGCAGGTAGGGTTCCCAAGGACAAAGCTCCCGATCCCAAAGACTCTGATTTCCCTGGTTCCTCGCAAGACCAGACCGCCTTCGAGTCTGTTTTTCCCACGGGTGCGCTTGCACTGCATCTTTGTTCTGGAGCCCTTGGGTATGCCGCGCAATCAAACCGAAAGCCCTGCCCGGAGGCTGATATTTGGTCCCTTGGCGTGGTCTTTTACGAACTTTTGACACTGGAGCCTCCCTTCAAGGCCTTGGCCTCGGCTTTGAGGTCAGCCTTGCACTTGTGAAGCCCAGCAGTTCCATTCAGTTCTCTTTTGTTCTACGACATGCGTACATATTTCTGTTCAAATCTGCATGTACGCGTATGATATTTTCAATATCTATCTACCTATCTATCGATCTGTCGATGTATAAATATATAGATGTATACACTACAACTATAACTTATAAGTAAGGGGAAAATAGCTGTATATGCATATATAGAGAGATACCTAGACATGTCTATATCTCCATAATATTTTCTTTATGTACGTATGTGTGCACATATGCATGCATGCATGCACATATGCATGCATGCATGCTTGTGCCCGAGCCCGGGAGCCTCGGGAGAGGTCTTTCCGGTTGAGCAGGCCGGGGGGGTTCACCCTAAACCTTAAACCTTCAGGGTGCAGTAATCAGGATTTAGGGAGGCCAGTGGGATGCTGGAGCCGGGGCTTCTGATGGGGGTTGAGCTTCTGGGTTTCGGGCTTAGGTAAAGCCTAAAACCCGGAGTCGGCTCCTCCGCACCCTCGCGGCCGAAGCGCCTTGGGACCTGGGCAGTTCTGTGCATAAAGGGCCTGAAGCCTAAAGGGCCTTATGCCTAGAACTCTGGATACCAACCCGACTTGGGAGGCTCCAGGTGGAAAGCGAAGTCGATAGTCGCTAAGTAGCATGTCTAAACTGATTCCAACAAGCGGCGCAGATGAAGGTGTATGTGGTAGATCTCGTATTGCGCGCTGGGGTGACTGAGGCGATGAGCCTAGCTGCGCTGGCCATCAAAATAGCCTTGCTCTCAACTCCTTCTTTGCCGATTCGGTACGGTACATGCAGCTGTCGCAGCCAAGTACCTCAGATGGAAAAGCTTGCCACGGATTGGGGCTGGCTGTGTTGTACAAAATGATAAACACAACGGGGGCGGTTGCGCCACGGCCCCGAGGTGAACGGCGAGCCCAAGCCCATCCTCAATGACTTCTATGCGGAAGAGGCACCAAGGGAACGTATTGCAGGGGGGATGATCGTCAAGATAACTTCAAAGACCTCGTCATTGAAGCTTCAGGGCCTCTGTCCAGGATAATTGCTACACTCCTCCTGTAGTCCTTGCAACAACTGTGAATCACGTAGGACAGCGTGTTAGAAGCAAGCTGCAGTGTTGCAGCAAAACGGCTACAGAATTACTGGCACTGGTGGGCTAGGTGCAGGGCTAGGATGAAACTGTGGAGAGAGACCATCGAACTGCGCAAGGTCCGTGGGCTTGTGCGGCCGATGCTGGAGAAGGACTCCGGCATGCGGTTGGCAAGATCTGGGCTAGAGACTTCGTAGTCCGCCGTGCTCGTACTGGAAGTGAGTAGCTCCAATGGACATGTCGAAAGTCTCGAGACTCTAGACTCACGCAAAGACTCCAGGCACCAGAA